TCTAGCAGGGAGATACCAGCTGTATTTATAGTTACTACTGGTCTAGCAGGGAGATAACAGCTGTATTTATAGCTACTGCTGGTCTAGCAGGGAGATACCAGCTGTATTTATAGTTTATACTGGTCTAGCAGGGAGATACCAGCTGTATTTATAGTTTATACTGGTCTAGCAGGGAGATACCAGCTGTATTTATAGTTACTACTGGTCTATCAGGGAGATACCAGCTGTATTTATAGCTACTACTGGTCTATCAGGGAGATAACAGCTGTATTTATAGCTACTGCTGGTCTAGCAGGGAGATACCAGCTGTATTTATCGCTACTACTGGTCTAGCAGGGAGATACCAGCTGTATTTATAGCTACTACTGGTCTATCAGGGAGATACCAGCTGTATTTATAGCTACTACTGGTCTAGCAGGGAGATACCAGCTGTATCTCTGTATTTATAGTTACTACTGGTCTAGCAGGGAGATACCAGCTGTATTTATAGTTTATACTGGTCTAGCAGGGAGATACCAGCTGTATTTATAGTTACTACTGGTCTAGCAGGGATATACCAGCTGTATTTATAGTTCCTACTGGTCTATCAGGGAGATACCAGCTGTATTTATAGCTACTACTGGTCTATCAGGGAGATACCAGCTGTATTTATAGCTACTACTGGTCTATCAGGGAGATACCAGCTGTATTTATAGCTACTACTGGGCTATCAGGGAGATACCAGCTGTATTTATAGTTATACTGGTCTATCAGGGAGATACCAGCTGTATTTATAGTTACTACTGGTCTATCAGGGAGATACCAGCTGTATTTATAGTTACTACTGGTCTAGCAGGGAGATACCAGCTGTATTTATAGTTACTACTGGTCTAGCAGGGAGATACCAGCTGTATTTATAGTTACTACTGGGCTATCAGGGAGATACCAGCTGTATATTTATAGTTACTACTGGTCTAGCAGGGAGATACCAGCTGTATTTATAGCTACTACTGGTCTAGCAGGGAGATACCAGCTGTATTTATAGCTACTACTGGTCTATCAGGGAGATACCAGCTGTATTTATAGTTACTACTGGTCTAGCAGGGAGATACCAGCTGTATTTATAGTTTATACTGGGCTATCAGGGAGATACCAGCTGTATTTATAGTTTATACTGGGCTATCAGGGAGATACCAGCTGTATTTATAGTTATACTGGTCTATCAGGGAGATACCAGCTGTATTTATAGTTACTACTGGTCTATCAGGGAGATACCAGCTGTATTTATAGTTACTACTGGTCTAGCAGGGAGATACCAGCTGTATTTATAGTTACTACTGGTCTAGCAGGGAGATACCAGCTGTATTTATAGTTACTACTGGGCTATCAGGGAGATACCAGCTGTATTTATAGTTACTACTGGTCTATCAGGGAGATACCAGCTGTATATTTATAGTTACTACTGGTCTAGCAGGGAGATACCAGCTGTATTTATAGTTACTACTGGTCTATCAGGGAGATACCAGCTGTATTTATAGTTTATACTGGTCTATCAGGGAGATAACAGCTGTATTTATAGTTTATACTGGTCTATCAGGGAGATACCAGCTGTATTTATAGTTACTACTGGTCTAGCAGGGAGATACCAGCTGTATTTATAGTTACTACTGGTCTAGCAGGGAGATACCAGCTGTATTTATAGTTACTACTGGGCTATCAGGGAGATACCAGCTGTATTTATAGCTACTACTGGTCTAGCAGGGAGATAACAGCTGTATTTATAGTTACTACTGGTCTATCAGGGAGATAACAGCTGTATTTATAGTTTATACTGGGCTATCAGGGAGATACCAGCTGTATTTATAGTTTATACTGGTCTAGCAGGGAGATACCAGCTGTATTTATAGTTACTACTGGTCTAGCAGGGAGATACCAGCTGTATTTATAGTTACTACTGGTCTAGCAGGGAGATACCAGCTGTATTTATAGTTACTACTGGGCTATCAGGGAGATACCAGCTGTATTTATAGTTACTACTGGTCTATCAGGGAGATACCAGCTGTATTTATAGTTACTACTGGTCTATCAGGGAGATACCAGCTGTATTTATAGTTACTGCTGGTCTAGCAGGGAGATACCAGCTGTATTTATAGTTACTACTGGTCTATCAGGGAGATACCAGCTGTATTTATAGTTACTACTGGTCTATCAGGGAGATAACAGCTGTATTTATAGTTACTACTGCTCTCAGGGAGATACCAGCTGTATTTATAGTTACTACTGGTCTATCAGGGAGATACCAGCTGTATTTATAGTTACTACTGGTCTATCAGGGAGATACCAGCTGTATTTATAGTTACTACTGGTCTATCAGGGAGATACCAGCTGTATTTATAGCTACTACTGGTCTAGCAGGGAGATACCAGCTGTATTTATAGTTCCTACTGGTCTAGCAGGAAGATAACAGCTGTATTTATAGTTACTACTGGTCTAGCAGGGAGATACCAGCTGTATTTATAGCTACTACTGGTCTATCAGGGAGATAACAGCTGTATTTATAGTTCCTACTGGTCTATCAGGGAGATAACAGCTGTATTTATAGTTACTACTGGTCTATCAGGGAGATACCAGCTGTATTTATAGTTACTACTGGTCTATCAGGGAGATACCAGCTGTATTTATAGTTCCTACTGGTCTAGCAGGGAGATACCAGCTGTATTTATAGTTACTACTGGTCTAGCAGGGAGATACCAGCTGTATTTATAGTTCCTACTGGTCTATCAGGGAGATAACAGCTGTATTTATAGTTACTACTGGTCTAGCAGGGAGATACCAGCTGTATTTATAGCTACTACTGGTCTATCAGGGAGATACCAGCTGTATTTATAGTTACTACTGGTCTAGCAGGGAGATAACAGCTGTATTTATAGTTACTACTGGGCTATCAGGGAGATACCAGCTGTATTTATAGTTTATACTGGGCTATCAGGGAGATACCAGCTGTATTTATAGTTTATACTGGTCTATCAGGGAGATACCAGCTGTATTTATAGTTACTACTGGGCTATCAGGGAGATACCAGCTGTATTTATAGTTCCTACTGGTCTAGCAGGGAGATACCAGCTGTATTTATAGTTACTACTGGTCTATCAGGGAGATACCAGCTGTATTTATAGCTACTACTGGTCTAGCAGGGAGATACCAGCTGTATTTATAGCTACTACTGGGCTATCAGGGAGATACCAGCTGTATTTATAGCTACTACTGGTCTATCAGGGAGATACCAGCTGTATTTATAGTTACTACTGGGCTATCAGGGAGATACCAGCTGTATTTATAGCTACTACTGGGCTAGCAGGGAGATACCAGCTGTATTTATAGTTTATACTGGTCTAGCAGGGAAATACCAGCTGTATTTATAGTTACTACTGGTCTAGCAGGGAGATACCAGCTGTATTTATAGCTACTACTGGTCTATCAGGGAGATACCAGCTGTATTTATAGTTACTACTGGTCTATCAGGGAGATACCAGCTGTATTTATAGTTACTACTGGTCTAGCAGGGAGATACCAGCTGTATTTATAGTTTATACTGGTCTATCAGGGAGATACCAGCTGTATTTATAGTTACTACTGCTCTCAGGGAGATACCAGCTGTATTTATAGTTACTACTGGTCTATCAGGGAGATACCAGCTGTATTTATAGTTACTACTGGTCTAGCAGGGAGATACCAGCTGTATTTATAGTTACTACTGGTCTAGCAGGGAGATACCAGCTGTATTTATAGTTACTACTGGTCTAGCAGGGAGATACCAGCTGTATTTATAGTTACTACTGGTCTATCAGGGAGATAACAGCTGTATTTATAGTTACTACTGGGCTATCAGGGAGATACCAGCTGTATTTATAGTTTATACTGGTCTATCAGGGAGATAACAGCTGTATTTATAGTTACTACTGCTCTTAGGGAGATAACAGCTGTATTTATAGTTACTACTGGTCTATCAGGGAGATACCAGCTGTATTTATAGCTACTACTGGTCTATCAGGGAGATACCAGCTGTATTTATAGTTCCTACTGGTCTAGCAGGGAGATACCAGCTGTATTTATAGTTACTACTGGTCTAGCAGGGAGATACCAGCTGTATTTATAGTTTATACTGGTCTAGCAGGGAGATACCAGCTGTATTTATAGTTCCTACTGGTCTAGCAGGGAGATACCAGCTGTATTTATAGTTTATACTGGTCTAGCAGGGAGATACCAGCTGTATTTATAGTTACTACTGGGCTATCAGGGAGATACCAGCTGTATTTATAGTTACTACTGGTCTATCAGGGAGATACCAGCTGTATTTATAGCTACTACTGGTCTATCAGGGAGATACCAGCTGTATTTATAGTTCCTACTGGTCTAGCAGGGAGATACCAGCTGTATTTATAGTTACTACTGGTCTAGCAGGGAGATACCAGCTGTATTTATAGTTTATACTGGTCTAGCAGGGAGATACCAGCTGTATTTATAGTTCCTACTGGTCTAGCAGGGAGATACCAGCTGTATTTATAGTTTATACTGGTCTAGCAGGGAGATACCAGCTGTATTTATAGTTTATACTGGTCTAGCAGGGAGATACCAGCTGTATTTATAGTTCCTACTGGTCTAGCAGGGAGATACCAGCTGTATTTATAGTTCCTACTGGTCTAGCAGGGAGATACCAGCTGTATTTATAGTTACTACTGGTCTAGCAGGGAGATACCAGCTGTATTTATAGTTCCTACTGGTCTAGCAGGGAGATACCAGCTGTATTTATAGTTCCTACTGGTCTAGCAGGGAGATACCAGCTGTATTTATAGTTCCTACTGGTCTAGCAGGGAGATACCAGCTGTATTTATAGTTCCTACTGGTCTAGCAGGGAGATACCAGCTGTATTTTTAGTTCCTACTGGTCTAGCAGGGAGATACCAGCTGTATTTTTAGTTACTACTTTATTTCAGTAGAGAGTAATTTTCCACTAACTGACAGGAAGATAAAAGGAAACGAAGAAGCTGAGAAAGTATTCGGAGTAGAGTTAGGGGATAAGAAGGATGCGTTCAACCTAGATCTGTACAACCTGTATCAGGACATGTTGCAACACGAATGTAATAAGCGAGTTCGTCACAAGCAACACGCGCAAGGATACAGTGACACAGGAATAGCTACTGAGAAGGACGCTAATGTTAAAACAGGTTTTTTGAACTACTTATATAGTATATAGTACTTTGTAGCTTTGTTATATATATATATATAATAGTATAACTATATGAGCACGTTCATTCGAGTTTGAGGATATTGGTAAATATTAGTGGCTATTAAAAGGCACGGTCTAGTTGACTTTGTCACACTATGAAATTATTTTAACCCTTGATGATTAAGATAATTGTCTCATCTTCTAGACAAACTTTGTCACATAACGATGATTTGATCAGGTGATAAGATATTGCCTAAATACGGCCGGCACGGAAATGTTTACTTTGTCACACTATGAACATGTGACGGGGTAAATATGGACCCCTTGCTGCTGTGTTTGACAAAATTTTCGAGTGTCAAGTTGATAGGATGGGTACATTATATTATGACCATTACCTACATATTTGTCGACTTTTTTCGTTAAATGGTGCGCCCAGGTTTACTCCGTCACACATTTAAGAAAATATATGAGGAATGTTTAGGACACCCTGACATGGAATGCTGAGTAGTGTAGGATTACTTGATGACCTGGAAGTGCTAGGAATTGTTATAATATCATACAGTCGCAAGCAAATAACACACAGAAGGCACAAATAGGTTTACTTTGTCACATATTCTTGATGATATCTGAACATGTGTGAAATTGAGCAAATATTGATATACCAGCTTAAACACCCTATATTACGTACTGGATCAATCAATGCACCAGTCACATTAACTATTATGTGGTAGTAATATCTTTACAGTGTCACAATTGAAACATCACAACATGGTAAAAAAACACATTAATTTTGTCACAAAAACTATTATAACTCTGTTTGCTCCTTGCTGGAAGATAACTAGTATATCGAAATTTGTTTGATGATAAAGTTATATTGAATTCTAATAGAAATAATATGGTGAACTTCAAAATAGGGCAAGTAATGTGAATTTCGTCACATAAGATGTTTTATAAACAACTTTTAGGTTTATTCATGGGTTGTAGACCATCCCCTCCTGTAGCGATTATTAGAATGTGGAAATTCGAGCGTAATAGTATATATTTAGACAGTTATTACATCAGTAACCCTGTTCGGTTCTTATACAAACGGTATGTAGATGATGCTGGTTCCTTAGCCAAATCCAGAGAAGAAGCACTGGATATGTTACAACGCATAGCCGACCAGGATCCCGATAACAGAATCAAGTGGGAGATTGAGTTCCCGTCTACCCCTGCGGATTTTGTCCCGTTCCTGAGTACGGAAATCCGGATCGATGAGGAAGGAAAAGTGCACCACAGATTCTACAGGAAAACCCAGAACAAGGGGATAACATTACACCAGAAGTCACACCACCCGGACTCAGTGAAGGAGGAGTGTAAGAAGAACTTCTACCGTAATGCCACCATTGCTTCCTCAGGACCCCAGGAACTCGATCATTCGGTTAAGATCATCGATGATCTCTTAAAGAAAAATGGACACCAACCTCTGAGTCATAACGCAAGGAACAGGAGGACTAGGAGAAGACGTCAAACCACACCTGACTCTGTCCCACTCACCTTACCATTCATCTCTGGAACAGTTTGTAATAAGATTCGCAACTACATCAAATCTAACAAACTCCCCATCAGAGTTATTTTTACACCTGGTAAGAAGTTACAGGACATCTTCTGCCGCTCTCGTCCACTGGATAAGAAGACTTGTGACCTTGGTAACCCTAACAATTGTGAGATCTGCCCTAGACTCACAGGAACAACATGCTCAACAAAAGGAGCTATTTACTTAGTTACTTGCGAGTTATGTGGTAAGAGATACTGTGGGGAAACTGAGAGAAGCCTCCATGCTCGTCTGATGGAGCACAGACAGGCTGCTAGGAATCCTAGAGCACATCCAGAGAATGGGGTTGGACAGCACTACGCATCTCTACATCCTAACCGAACCCCAGTTTTATCTTTCAAGTTACTTGATTTACAGAGTAAAACTGTTCGTAGAAAGATTGTAGAAGCGATGTATATATTGAGATTAAGTCCTGAAATGAATGATCGTTCTGAGTTGAGTTATTTGTACAAATATTTAGTCGATGTTTAACTAGTAAATAATGTATTGATAGGACTATCTTGGATAGTAACCATGACAACCGAGTTATCGTTGCTTAAGTGCTGATTTTATCATTAGTTTTTACACATGAACTGTGAATTCTGAACAACCAGTTTTACGTTTACTAATTAGTTTAGTATCATGAGTAGTACAGTATTTAGTTGTATTAGCTTACATTTCTTCTTGTCGTATTTTTTGTTGTTTTGACATTTTTTGCAATTACATTTTTTGGGTCATATTTCGTAAATTTTATTTCTCTGTTTTTGTTTTAATGTTATTTTAAATTTCTTTCCGTCGTTAATTTTTACACATGTTTAACAATTTTATTACAGAACTGAAGAAGACGTTGTTACGTGGAATGATTATTTCAATTCAATAAAGTTTCTAGCCTAAAGTTTGCTGCTTCAATTTGTTCGCAAGTTAAGAGTCTAAAGAGAAATTCTCCAAGAGAAATCACATTTTAGTGACTTAGCAACATTTAACTTAACATCGTTAAACTTGAGCTCTGATGTGCTGGACAATAATCTACCAATTATTTCTAAAAGAATATTGAAAATTAATAGAGGTATAATTCTTCAAAATAGGGACAAGAAATGTTGACTTCGTCACATCATTTTTGTGACAATGTTAACATCAACTGCCCTCTCTTGAATCAACTGTATCGTCCATACTCCTTATATGGAGTTTTCCCGCATTAAGAACCAAAATCAGGTTGAAATGATTTCGGCAATGCACCCAAAATTGAAAATTCTATAAAATGTGACAGAATTAACCTTATTTCCCAATAACTAAGTGCGTTTATTAGGCAACCATACAAAACAGCATATTTTAGGGCTGCAATCGATAGAAGAACCATCACATAATAAGTTAAAAAGGTTTTGAGGACACCTCACAGTAAAAAAGAGGTATGTGACAAAGTTATCCAAATATTGCCGTATAACCATTGGATCCGTGCCCTTTAACTAATGGTGTATCATAATTGTTAGATTGACCTAATCTACTATATTTCAGACAAATGAATGTTAATTGAGCAGCTACAGTTAACTAAGTCACAATAATTTGTATTTCTGAGCAGTGCATATTGGAGTATGGGTCACGTGGCTAATGTTCAGAACTTCTGAACATGCTAGGTTAATAGATGCCAAAATTAAGCCGCTATCGTCAAAAGCACTATTATTTTTGTTTACCAATATCCTCAAACTCAAATGAACGTGTCCATATATTTTTTTGAAACGTTAAAGGTTGGAGGTAATTTATCTTATTACATCTCTATAATTAAGACGGGTACCCTGCTAGTCTCTATCATTAGGACGGGTACCTTGCTAGTCTCTATAATTAGGACGGGTACCCTACTAGTCTCTATAATTAGGGCGGGTACCCTGCTAGTCTCTATAATTAGGACGGGTACCCTGCTAGTCTCTATAATTAGAAAGGGTACCCTGCTAGTCTCTATAATTAGGACGGGTACCCTGCTAGTCTCTATAATTAGGACGGGTACCCTGCTAGTCTCTATAATTAGGACGGGTACCCTGCTAGTCTCTATAATTAGGACGGGTACCCTGCTAGTCTCTATAATTAGGACGGGTACCCTGCTAGTCTCTATAATTAGGACGGGTACCCTGCTAGTCTCTATAATTAGTACGGGTACCCTGCTAGTCTCTATAATTAGGACGGGTACCCTGCTAGTCTCTATAATTAGGACGGGTACCCTGCTAGTCTCTATAATTAAGACGGGTACCCTGCTAATCTCTATAATTAGAACGGGTACCCTGCTAGTCTCTATAATTAGGACGGGTACCCTGATAGTCTCTATAATTAGGACGGGTACCCTGCTAGTCTCTATAATTAGGACGGGTACCCTGCTAGTCTCTATAATTAGGACGGGTACCCTGCTAGTCTCTATAATTAGGACGGGTACCCTGCTAGTCTCTATAATTAGGACGGGTACCCTGCTAGTCTCTATAATTAGGACGGGTACCCTGTTAATCTCTATAATTAGGACGGGTACCCTGCTAGTCTCCATAATTAGGACGGATACCCTGCTAATCTCTATAATTAGGACGGGTACCATGCTAGTCTCTATAATTAGACTCTCGTTATTTCTAGCCCGATTTACAAGACCTTATTTCAGTTGTAGTGAAACATGTTAAAATGAAGTACCTAGCTGAGAAGCTAACGGTTGACCCGGTAAAGTTACGTGGACCCCAGATAAAATACCACCCTCATATGGAAGTAAGAGTCTGGGACCGACAAATAAAGAATCAGGGAGGGCGGGAGGAAGTGATGTGGAACAAGGCTAACTACGCGCGTTGCAAGAAAGCAGAGTACGCTAAGTCGCTGGGTAACCGCTATGATTCTTACTACCTCTACAAAAGGGAGGTAGCGCAGAACACGCGGCTCACTTATTCGCGGAACAACTTCTTCTTCAAGTGGGTTTACTTCCACGCGGACACGGAGCAGCCGTACGAACTGCACGCTAAGGAGGCTGCGCTGATGCACCGGTGGACAGAGTACAAGGAAGAGCGCGACAGTGCACTGCGGCAGATAGAGTTGCAGGACATTCAGAAGTACGCTCATGTCACACGAGTGCTGGGAATACCACCTATTTACCTGCCTACTCACAAGGTCTTTTTTGCTTTTACATTTAATTCAAAATATTTTCTATATTTTCTTGTTTTTGGTTTCTTTGTGGTGTTTAGTCGAATTAACTAGCTTCATTAACTAGCTAACTAGCTAAGTAGTTACATAACCCATTAACTAGCTACATAACCCTCATACTTTATTATTCCAGCTGCCGAAGCCAAAGTGGTTTCGAAACAACACGATATCTAACCTGCAAGGATGGGAGATAGCACGGTTACAGGCTAAGCGGGAGCAGGGTGCTGTGAGTTCAGAGGAAGCAGACAAGGTGGAGATGCCAGCTCGACCTGCTCGCTTTAACGAGCTGATAGTGGGGTGGCACAACACGGACCAGAACAGGGTGCTGGACTCTGACTACCATTACGGCACTCCCAGAACTACCAGAGATCCTGTACCTCTGCCTGGCAGTCTCAGGACCGCCAAGTCTATTATTGAACCTCCGCAAGCAATGTAAAGAAGAGGGTTCTACAATCTACATATTGTACAATCTACAATCTACATATTGTACAATCTAAAACTCTACAATATAATGTCAATGAACAATATGCAACTCTTGTCGGCTTCTATTCTTCTAATTTGTATTATATAATATTATTTGAGGTCTACTTACTTGTACTCATGGTATTATTATTATAGATTTAAACTGTATTATTTTACGATCTTCCTAGTAGTTAGTACTGACAGCAAGTAGAGCACAGTCCCTATAATACAGCCCCTATACTATTAAAGTATAGGCCATAGGGGTATTACTATTATAGTAGTGTAGTGTTTTGCAAGTAGAGCACAGTCCCTATAATACAGCCCCTATACTATTAAAGTATAGGCCATAGGGGTATTACTATTATAGTAGTGTAGTGTTTTGCATGAGGTATAAGGACAATTTGGAAGTTTTAAATTAGATTAGTAACTTGAAGCTATCCATCGAGCTATTAACTCTATTAATCAGTAAACCCTGCTACTAGAGTATTTAATCAGTAAATGGTATACAGTGCGCAAAGTAGTGGTTGATGTATGAAGTATGGAAAAATCTCTAAGGTTTTGGAATGAGGAGAAAATACAGAAAAATATATTCGTGAGTCAAATATTCAATTATTATTTCAATTATTATTTATAATATTACTTCTAATTAATGATCATTGAAAAGTAAAAATAAAACATAATTTAACTGTGCAGAGTTACTAATAGTGTAATTTAACTGTGCAGAGTTGCTAATAGTGTAATTTAACAGTGCAGAGTTACTAATAGTGTAATTTAACAATGCAGAGTTGCTAATAGTGTAATTTAACAGTGCAGAGTTACTAATAGTGTAATTTAACAGTACAGAGTTACTAATAGTGTAATTTAACAGTGCAGAGTTACTAATAGTGTAATTTAACAGTGCAGAGTTACTAATAGTGTAATTTAACAGTGCAGAGTTACTATAATAGTGTAATTTAACAATGCAGAGGGAGTTACTAATCTTATGTTTTCAGAATGACTCCCAGTCCGGGAATATGATAAAGCTAGCCGTGTGGACGGGCTCTAAATCCACCACTGAGATAAGAGCATGTGTCATTAAACGTCACATCTACAAAATAGTGAGTTGCTTAAACGTCACATCTATAAAATAGTGAGTTGCTTAAACGTCACATCTACAAAATAGTGAGTTGCTTGTCTTCTTGGGCTGTCTTTATCTGTGTAGTCGGATGGCTTCGTTTCAGAAATATACAAAAAATATTTTTGATTACTATATTTATATTTGACTAACTTGGTAACATATAAACAATAAACATACATAACTGTAGCTGTATGATAAACGAAGTCAAATATGCCCTGACTAAATATTGTTCGTGCTTATTGCTTATCTTGTAGACTCACTCATCCTAGTAATACACATCCTAACAAAGTACATAATATAATATGAATAAATATAATAATTAGCTTTAATTTCATAGGAAAATAACTAAATAAGTTATCAGCAAGTTAGTTGCCAGTTTAATACAATATTATTAATATCATTACTATTAACAATATAATTAAAATTATTTTGATCATTTAAAATGTGAGTAATACACATAGATAGAAAGGCCTATAATTAGTGTAATTATATATTTATATATTAGTGTGATTAATAATGATGTGTAGACAGTGTGATAAATGATTTTATAATCTGATAAGGAAGGTGTGAGTGTACTGATAGTTAATGTTGCAGTTAAAGATAAGGAAGGTGTGAGTGTACTGATAGTTAATGTTGCAGTTAAAGATAAGGAAGGTGTGAGTGTACTGATAGTTAATGTTACAGTTAACGATTAAAGATAAGGAAGGTGTGAGTGTACTGATAGTTAATGTTACAGTTAACGATTAAAGATAAGGAAGGTGTGAGTGTACTGATAGTTAATGTTACAGTTAAAGATAAGGAAGGTGTGAGTGTACTGATAGTTAATGTTACAGTTAAAGATAAGGAAGGTGTGAGTGTACTGATAGTTAATGTTACAGTTAAAGATAAGGAAGGTGTGAGTGTACTGATAGTTAATGTTACAGTTAACAATTAAAGATAAGGAAGGTGTGAGTGTACTGATAGTTAATGTTACAGTTAACGATAAGGAAGGTGTGAGTGTACTGATAGTTAATGTTGCAGTTAAAGATAAGGAAGGTGTGAGTGTACTGATAGTTAATGTTGCAGTTAAAGATAAGGAAGGTGTGAGTGTACTGATAGTTAATGTTACAGTTAACGATTAAAGATAAGGAAGGTGTGAGTGTACTGATAGTTAATGTTACAGTTAATGATTAAAGATAAGGAAGGTATGAGTGTACTGATAGTTAATGTTACAGTTAAAGATAAGGAAGGTGTGAGTGTACTGATAGTTAATGTTACAGTTAAAGATAAGGAAGGTGTGAGTGTACTGATAGTTAATGTTACAGTTAAAGATAAGGAAGGTGTGAGTGTACTGATAGTTAATGTTACAGTTAAAGATAAGGAAGGTGTGAGTGTACTGATAGTTAATGTTACAGTTAACGATAAGGAAGGTGTGAGTGTACTGATAGTTAATGTTGCAGTTAAAGATAAGGAAGGTGTGAGTGTACTGATAGTTAATGTTACAGTTAACGATTAAAGATAAGGAAGGTGTGAGTGATAACAACAAGAGCTACCAGTTTAAACTGCCTGACGGAGAGGACGCTATATTGTGAGTTTGTATACCAGATGTTACTTTACATACTCCATTACTAGTAGCAGGTTTACTAGTAGAGGGGATAATATTTCAAGTTATTTTAAATGTGCTGTTTAAGACAAACAAGCGCAATTTTGGGGAATGGAAACATCCGCGGTAAATCGGGGCGTGGTAAATCGGGGTTTTACTGTAATACTGCTAGAAGAATAAAACTTGTTAACTTGTACCATATTAGAATATAATATAACTGTTATTTGATCGCAGCCCGACTCAAACGGTAGATTGGAATCCGGAACACATTGATCAGATAGCAGTTGGTTTAGCGAACAACTACGTACTGCATTGGAATCTTACCACAGCGAAATGTATCCGATTTCACAAAGCAACTTGTGTGAGTAATTAAGATTGTAGTGTAGTGTAGTGTAGTGTAGTGTAGTGTAGTGTAGTGTAGTGTAGTGTTGTGTAGTGTAGTGTAGTGTAGTGTAGTGTAGTGTAGTGTAGTGTAGTGTTAGGTAATGTAATGTTGAAGTGCTGATGGAACATTAATCCTGTAGGTAAAATTGATTATACAATATAGACAAACTGTTGAGGTGGAACAGTCTTAGTCGGGAAATGCCCTGGTAGAAAGAAAGATAGTGAGGCTATGAGTAACCTAGTAACTACACTAGTAACCTAGCAACCTATGGGCTATGACACAGAATTGAATTGTTTAACGCTTTTTACATATAATAGCTCAGGCGAATAGAACCCATTTAATAGTTCTCTTTGTTTTCATTCTGGTGTCGCACAGGGCTCCGTTCTGGTGTCGCACAGGGCTCCGTTCTGGTGTCGCACAGGGCTCCGTTACACTTATTATAATTTTGTAATAGCATTCGAGGATAAGCTTAATCAACAGAACAATTCTTAAAAATGTACCGTGTACATCTGGGCCTGGGTTTTATATTAACTAGCCTAACTTTAAGGTGGGGGGGGGGGTCCAACCCGATGTCCGATATGAGGGTTGATGAGGCCAAAATCGGAATCGGAAAAATCGGAAAAATCGGAAAATTGAGAAATTTACTGAATCAATCTCTAAAAGCTCTCAGAAGTGATATAATTTAACCAGAACCCCTACATATGCTATGTATGCTATATGAAAACGAACCAATTGGACATTCCAATAGTATGTTTTATGTGTATTTCCACTGCAGGGGCGCTAGTATGCTCACTACTAGTTGGAGTTATCATGTACTCCCAGACCCGAGTGCTTTGGTCTCTTGTGAGATCGATTGTGTCTGCTCATTGATTCTATCCATGTTACTTGTTATTATCATGTATTAGTACAACACTAGGTACCGGGTTATATTTTTTGGTCCAGTCTTAAAACATAGGGATTGGCTAGTTAGAGGCGGTCCGTGTAGGCCTTACACTGTGCTTTCAGCAATACTCATACCATAATATCACTAGTACACTGCACCTTAAATGTATAGTCAAGTACATTTGTATCGTAACACATGCTTGGCTGGGGATCATGTTTTGTGTCCGTTCGGTATATTTTCAAAACGGACAAAAAGTAGGGCGGACAAAAACAGACAGAACATTTAGATGTCCTCCTCCTCCCTAGTCTTCCTCCTCCTTCTTATCAGTCCTCCTCCTCCTCCTAAGTCTTCCTCCTCCTCCTGAGACTTTCTCCTCCTCAGTCCTCTTCAGTCCTCTTCCTGACTCCTCGTCCTCCTCCTTCTCCTTAGATCTCCTCACCCTCCTCACCCTCCTCCTCAGTTCCCTTCTCCTCCTCCTCCTCCTCCTCATCCTCCTCCTCCTCCTCCTCCTCACTTCTCCTCCTCATCCTCCTCCTCCTTCTCCTCCCCATCAGTCCTCCTTCTCAGTCCTCCTCTTAGTCGTCCTCCTCCTCCTGAGTCCTCCTCCTCATCCTCCTCCACCTCCTGAGTCCTCCTCCTGAGTCCCCCTCCTCAACCTCCTCCTCAGTCATCCTCCTCTTCCTCCTCAGTCCTCCCCAGTCCTCCTCCTCCTCCTTCTCCTCCTCATCAGTCCTCATCCTCTGTCCTCCTCATAATCGTCCTTATCCTCGTCCTTATCCTCCTCCTCAGTCCTCTCCCAGTCCTCCTCCTCATCCTCCTTCTCCTTCTCCTTCTCCTCTTTCTTTTCCTCCTAATCGGTCCTCCTCGTCCTTAGTCCTCGTCCTTTCCTCGTCCTCCTCAGTCTTCCTCCTCAGTCCTCCTCAGTCCTCCTCCTTATCATCCTCCTCATCATCCTCCTCATCATCCTCCTCCTCAACAGTCCTCCTCCTCCTCCTCAGTCTCCTCATCCTCCTCCCCAGTCCTCCTCAGTCCTCCACCTCCTTCTCCTACTCCTAAGTCCTCCTTCATCAGTCCTCATCCTCAGTCCTCCACTAGTTGTCCTCGTCCTTAGTCCTCCTCCTTTTCCTCCTCCTGAGTCCTCCTGAGTCCTCCTGAGTCCTCCTCCTCATCAGTCCTCCTCCTCCTCCTCTTCAGTCCTCCTCCTGAGTCCACCTCCTCATCCTCATCCACCTCCTGAGTCCTTCTGAGTCATCCTCCTCTTCCTCCTCCTCCTCTTCCTCAATATCCTCCTTATCCTACTCCTTCTCAGTCCTCCTCCTTCTCCTCATTCTCCTCCTTATCCTCCTCCTCCTCAGTCCTCCTCCTTCTCCTCCTCCTTCTCCTTTTCCTTCTCCTCCTAATCAGTCCTCTTCCTTAGCCCTCGTTATCATCCTCCTAGTCCTCGTCCTTAGTCCTCGTCCTCATCCTCCTCAGTCCTCCTCCTCCTTCTCCTCCTCCTTCTCCTCGTCCTCAGCCTCGTCCTCCTCATCCTCGTCCTCCTTCTCCTCCTCTTTTTTCTCCTCCTAATCAGTCCTCCTCAGTCTTCCTCCTCAGTCCTCCTCAGTCCTCCTCCTCGTCATCCTCCTCCTCAACAGTTCTCCTCCTCAACAGTCCTCCCCCTCCTCCTCAGTCTCCTCCTCTTCAGTCCTCCTTAGTTCTCCTCCTCCTCCTTATCCTACTCCTAAGTCCTCCTCCTACTCCTCCTCATCAGTCCTCATCATCAGTCCTCCACTAGTTGTCCTCGTCCTCGTCCTTAGTCCTCCTCCTCCTCTTCCTCCTCCTGAGTCCACCTCCTCATCCTCCTCCACCTCCTGAGTCCTCCTCCTGAGTCCTCCTCCTCCTCCTCAATCTCCTCCTTATCCTCCTCCTCAGTCCTCCTCCTCCTCCTCATTCTCCTCCTTATCTACCTCCTCCTCAGTCCTTCTCCTCCCTCTCCTCCTCCTTCTCCTTTTCCTTTTCCTAATCAGTCCTCTTCCTTCTAGCCCTCGATATCATCCTCCTAGTCCTCGTCCTTAGTCCTCGTCCTCATCCTCCTCAGTCTTCCTCCTTAGTCCTCCCCCTCCTCAGTCCTGCTCCTCAGTCCTCCTCCTCCTCATCCTCCTCAGTCCTCTTCCTCAGTCCTCATCCTCTTCCTCCTCAGTCCTCCTCCTCCTTAGCCCCCGTCCTCCTCCTACTCGTCAGTCCTCCTTCTCCTCCTTCTCATCCTCAGTCCTCCTCATCATCCTCCTCAGTCCTCCCCCAGTCCTCCTCCTCCTCAGTCCTCCCTAAGTCCTCCTCTTCCTCAGTCCTCCCCCAGTCCTCTTTCTCCTTCTCCTCCTGCTCAGTCCTCCTGCTCAGTCCTCCTCCTCCTCCTCCTTCTTATCAGTCCTCCTCCTCAGTCCTCCTCCTCGATCTCGCACTCGTCCTCCTGGAGTCCTCCTCCTCCTCATCAGTCCTCCTACTCCTCTTCAGTCCTCCTCCTGAGTCCTCCTCCTCAATCCTCATCCTCCTCCACCTCCTGAGTCGTCCTCCTGAGTCATCCACCTCCTCCTCCTCCTCATTCTTATCCTTATCCTCCTCCACCTCAGTCCTCCTCATCCTCATTCTCCTCCTTATCCTCCTCCTCCTCATCCTCCTCCTCCTCCTTCTCCTCTTCCTTCTCCTCCTAATCAGTCTTCCTCCTCAGTCGTCCTCCTCCTTTTCCTTAGCCCTTGTCCTCATCCTCCTAGTCCTTAGTCCTCCTCCTCATCCTCCTCAGTCTTCCTCCTCATCATCCTCAGTCTTCCTCCTCAGTCCTCCTCTTCCTCCTCATCAGTCTTCTCCTCTTCATCCGCCTCCTTAGTTCTCCTCCTCCTCCTCAGTCCTACTCCTCAGTCCTCCTCATTCTCCTCCTTCTCCCTTTCCTTCTCCTAATCAGTCCTCTTCCTTAGCCCTCGTTATCATCCTCCTCGTCCTTAGTCCTCGTCCTCATCCTCCTCAGTCTTCCTCCTCAGTCCTCCTCCTCCTTCTCCTCCTCATCAGTCCTCCTCCTCCTCAGCCTCCTCCTCCTCAGTCCTCCTCTTCTTCAGTCCTCCTCCTCCTCCTCATCAGTTTACACAATGTATTGTTACTAAAATGTTTTTAAACGCATTTGAGTCTGTAACATATTGACATGTTACTGTTACTGACTCAAAATGTGCTCGAGAATTTTTTTTGATAAATAAAGATTTTGATAAATAAAGTGATTTTCATCCCTTTTAATGTTATTAAAAATTGTGTAGACTATTCTTTGTACTAACTGAGGATTAGAAGTTTGAGAAAGGACCATGGTCATTAACCGTGCTACCCATTTCTGCAGATAGCCTGTTACAAATTGTGGAGACAATTTAAATCAAAAGTTACTAAAGCGTTCGCTATTTGTTACGATTGTTATTACCAACTGTACCTCTTTCAATTCTGGACCGGGGTGGATGTTTCTGTCGAACAAGAGTTGATACGACAGTGTGTTGTTTTTCGGACGAAACGATTCTTGTTTGGAACAAGAAACAATTTTGGGGTTCTGGGACCACCACCAATCGATTTCTTGTCATATTTAAGTACAGAAATAGCTACTTATATCGCCTAGAAAGCTCAGAGGGAAAATTTAAATTTTCCCGATTTTTCCGATATGAGGGTTGATGAGGCCAAAATCGGAATCGGAATGATCGGAAACGTCGGGTTGGACCCCCCCCAAGGTGGTGTTATTTATTTATTTATCTCGCGATTTTGACACCATTTGGGAGTCCAAATTTCGGGACCTAAAGTTCTTATTCCTTGGCCAATTTTGTATTTCTTCATACTGATAAAAAGGCCATAAAAGCATTTGACCCAGCCAAAAATGTTTCAATTGTATATCTCTCACAGTTTTTGGGAACATCGTGTTAAAGTTGATGCCGTGGTGTCAGTAAAATGGCAACAGATATACCCATATCGTCTCGCTTTATATAGTAAGATCAGTACTTAAAAAGTTAAAAAAGGTTACGAACTTCTCTATGATCAGTACATATTATTATAAAATAATTTGAGAATATGAGTATGACGTATTTACCTCATTGAAGTGTGTCTATTCAGAAGAAATTACAAATCAAATGAGACTGCACCACTTATTCTGACTGAAATTACTGAAGCCTTGCTGCGACGGCATCATCACCACGTCATCAAGTTAAGTGTTTTCAACTCGACTTTCGAATATTATGCAAGTTTGGAATAATTGCAACTGTACAGGAGAACAAGTCAAGTGGACACAGTTTCACGAGTTCTCGGACCCTCACGTGTATTCAGTGGTCCCCTAAAAATCCAAACTTGCTTATTTATGGAACGAAGGACCCGTTTATCAACGTATGGGATGTTAGAGAACCAGCGCCTGATCAAGTAAGTTTGCTGATGGCATCATTGGGGGAGGGGGGGCGGGGGCGCGGTACAAATCACTATTCTAGTTTTAACATAATATGTGATAGCGCTGCTACAGACTATCTGTCTTGTATATTATAACGGAGAAGGTGGAAGTTACATCTGCCTTGTTCGCTGGGATGAACACATTTCAAGGGACGATGGAACATTTTAATCGAAAGTTCTATACTACTGCAAAACAGTCTACTAAGAGTCATAACCGGCCGGCGCGATCTATTTTTTTGAAACAAATTAAAGCTGCTGATAACGCCGCGCACATGTGACTTATATATTATTATTTAGTTAATCCTGATCAGAAGTTAGATAGTATGATATATAGCTGATATGATAATGTAAGTTAGATAGATTTGATAATGAAGCTCCTTTCAGACGTATGCTAATGACGGAGTTCTCGATATCAAATTCGACCCACATGACGAGAACCAATTTGCTGTGGCTAGTGAGAATCACGACGTCACCATCTACGATCTCCGCAACACTTCGACGGAAAAGATAAGATCTGAAAAGAAACCCGTATCTAAGAAGTTCAAGTTCTCAGCACATGAGAACAGGACACTAAAGTGCGAATGGAATCCCAAAATCAGAAACCAGTTAGCTACCAGTGGACAGACCAATATAAAGGTACCGATATTGCTTTGTAGTTGTCTAATCTACTAGGGTAGCAGGGTGTAGGGGGGGGGGGGTGTAGTTGTCTAATCTACTAGGGTAGCAGGGTGTAGGGGAGGAGGGGGTGTAGTTGTCTAATCGTGGGGGGGGGGGTCAACCTCATTTTACCTCATGAGGCCAGCCAAAAAAGGCAAAATTGGGATGAGGTAAAATGAGGTAAATAAATCTAGTTTTCTAAGCCTTTTTTAGAGACAAAAAAGGTTTATTCGAAGTCATTATACTATAATTCGAGGCTGTGCATGGTCTCCCATGATATTTAATGGTTTATTAGGGGTGATGTGGTCCCTGGGAAGGGGCATTCCCAGTTTAACCTACTTACTCTCCAAACTTGGGGTAAATAAAACTTCGCATTATAATTATTATTTATGAAAAGAAAATTGAACATTTCAATTTCCATGATCCATTAGGATATTGTAAATAGCACTTGCTAAGTTTTGTAAAGGAATTAGCAATAACTTTAGTGTCACTTTGGCAGTTGCCAATTTATGGGGATATTTCCGCATTGCATGACATGGACCATTTAAATAATATCTTAATTTGATATTGCGATTATCGAGTCACTCTGAAACAAATTGTGTCTAACTAGACCAAATGTAAACAACAGTTGTGCATGGAACTGGATTGGATATCTACATGAATTTAGTCGAAATTGCATAGTGAAAGGTCATTTCATAATAAATTACTCATATAAACTCATACTTCATACAATTCTAAGTTCTTATGTACATGTTCAATGTTTCGCTGTAGAATAAAGGGCGGTTCAGAAAACCACCTTTCGTTGAAATAATTAGATATCACCTCTAATTAGTTGCTCTATAGGGTCGGGAACAACCAAAAAAATTTTTGTGTCTTTAAGGTTTCGTATAATACTGACTTGGGCCACGCCCATATTTTTCACCAATTTTAAACAGGTAAAATTCTCTAAATCGTCAATTTAGTCACGAAGGAGTATGGAAGGAGTTCTAAATGTGTGCTCCTCTAATAGAAACAGTAGGAAATGGTTAACTTTAGTCGAGGTTTCAGGTCTCTACAATGTCGGGAAGTTCCTGCAGGAATTTGCGCATTGCGCTGAAGCGCAAGATTCACAGCACCAAAAGCGAAGGTCGTAGAGACATGAGACCTTGACTAAAGTTAACCATTTCATACCATTGCTACAAGAGTATGCCACTTTCAGAGTCCTGAACACACTCCTACAGCTCTTAATCGTCAATTATATGAATTTTACCTGTTAAAATATATTATCTTTAACTGATATCAATTTAGTTTAACACTGTTAATTTTTTTTTAAACATAATACTTCACACCAAACTAACGCACAATATGATAGTATAAAAAAGGAAGGTTTTCCTTGGATTCCAAATTCAACTTTGATTATATCCTGGCACTGATTATCATTTCTCGATTGTTCTCCATTTTCCAATGCAGTCAGCAAGTTCCAATTAAGGTAGACTAGGTTTTCGAATCTTCATATTATGTTCAGAAGCAGGCTAGAAGGGGTTGTTACCAGAGGAATATCTTCTTGGAACAAGGGAATTAATGAGGTCTTCATTTATAACTCGTCAGTGACAGTCCGGACAGGATGAGCATTGACGAGATCAACTGATTACTTCATAGCTCGTCATTGATAGGATCAGTATTAAATGAGGTCGAATGATTACTTCATAGCTCGTCACTAACTGTATCAGCATAACATGACTAACAACTAACGAGGTCCAGTGATCTCTTGCTGATACGTCAAGACAAGATCAGTAAATAGCTAAAAATATCGAAAAAAATCAGCTTAGAAATTACAGAGTACAAATGCCTTCTTCACAACTTACTCTTCGGCCTCATCTTTTTAAATCACTCATTCCCTCTGAAACAAGATAATGCTTAGGACTAGGAGGAACTTAGTTAAATTCTTGTATGATTCAGTAAGAGGAAAATTCCTTAGTAAGCTAACATTCTTTTGTAGGATGTTACCACTTATCATATCTGTTATCCAGCATAATCCCACAACTAGACCCTCTTATTCTTGAGTCTTGACAATGACAGTAGCAATGTACACTATTTTGATGCTCGGTCCAGGTCTCCAAGAAAACCTTCCTTTTTATATTCTCATATTGTGTGTTAGTTTGGTGTGAAGTAGTATTTTCTTTTTTAAAACTAACAGTGTTAAACTAAAATGATATCAGTAAAAGATGATATATTTTAACAGGTAAAATTCATATAATTGACGATTAAGAGATATGGGAGTGTGTTCAGGACTCTGAAAGTGGCATACTCTTATAGTAATGGTATGAAATGGTTAACTTTAGTCAAGGTCTCATGTCTCTACGACCTTCGCTTTTGGCGCTGTGAATCTTGCACTTCAAGCGCAATGCGCAAATTCCTGCAGGAACTTCCCGACATTGTAGAGACCTGAGACCTCGACTAAAGTTAACCATTTCTTACTGTTTATATTAGAGGAACACACATTTAGAACTCCTTCCATACTCCTTCGTGACTAAATTGACGATTTAGAGAATTTTACCTGTTAAAATTTTTGCCGAGATTTACCTCATTTTACCTCATGAGGCCAGCCAAAAAAGGCAAAATTGGGATGAGGTAAATGAGGTAAAATGAGGTTGACCCCCCCCCCCCCCCAATCGTGGAGGAATGTTAAACTCGCTCTATGTAAAGCGAAATTTAAGTTCATTAGTCAACCGTAGCTCTATAGTCGTAATGCTAGCTAAACTACTAGTTACCACGGTTACACTGTACTGCTATAATTGCAGATCTGGGCAGTGGATTACAGTAAGGAGTACCACCTGCACAACGAGATGACGTTGATAACGACCCGTAACTCCGCCTACAGCATCAAGTGGAGCCCGGTCTGTGAATACCTGCTCGCCTCCCACTCCCACTCCTCCCGATATGTGGAGATCTGGGACATCAGACGCAGGTTCCAATACTATATATTATACAAACTATATACACTATATACACTACACTATACTACTAGTTACCAAGGTTACTACTACACGTGTATAGTCTTTAGACATTTTTATACGATTATGAAAATCTTGGACCTCGTTTTTTGACGATTTTTAGAGGTCTCAAAATGTATGTTAGCTCTCTTCTAAATGTTCCTAGAACATATCTTTAAAATCGATTTCGAAGAAATTATCATGATTATAAACTAGGCACTTAACATGAATAACTTTCAGGTTCAAGCCTTATAGACATTTTCGAGAAGATCCCACAAACAAATCCAAGCTTGGAAGATTATGTAAGTAACAAAATCAACACTACGAATCGTTTAAAATGGGAATACCCGCCACACAGATACATTATACAATAATCAAGTCAAATAGAATAAATAGGGGTAAATTTCTAATGCGGTAAAACCCCGATTTAACGTACACAGTACAGTTTGGGAAAGGAAAATCGGGGTTTACTGCACTCTGTCCTACACAAGTGAAATTATTAATTTTTATCTTACAACCTGAATTAACTTTTGTAAGACTTATCAAGTTTCTAATATACCCCTTGTACTTGATGAAGCTAGAAGCAAGTTTCTAAGATACCCCTTGTACTTGATAAAGCTAGACACAACTTCCTCGAATCTAACCTCCTTTTGGAGTTGTGGTGTAATTCCACAAAACCCGGACAGTTCTTCTAGTTCTGACAAAGTTTTTCTGGCGTGGAGAGAAAATGTGATCTTGTCGCGGAGAGAAGCGTGTTTATAAAACTGTTTGTAAGCAGGAGCGTGAGCATCGTACAGAATAGTGTGTGCGAACTTGTGCCCTTCTGAGTCCATCCAGATCCTTCCTGTCTGGGGTGTCCAGTCTGTAGAGCAGATGTTCTGTCAGCTCCCTGTAGTTGAGACTGGCGGCCAGTTGGCCTTGTACTCTCGCTAAAGGCCCTGCGGGAGATTGGTCCATGTAAACTTTACTAGAGTAAACTTTATTAGAGTAGCTACTAGTTACCCCTTCTAGGTAACCCCCCCCCCCCCCCCCCCCCCCTCCTAGTTAGCCCCCTAGTTAGCCCCCCTAGTTAGCCCCCCCCCCTAGTTTCCCCCCCCCCCTTAGTTAGCCCCCCCCCCCCCCTAGTTGGCCCCCCAAGTTAGCCCCCCCCCTTAGTTAGCCCCCCCCCCCCCTTAGTTAGCCCCCCCTCCTCTGAGACAGCAGGATGGGTACTGAGAACTTTCTCTAGCAGAGACAAAGACACGATGATGATGCCCTCTCTGGTCGCCTCACCTGCAGTGTGACATAATCATGATTGAGTCGATCCAACGCTCATTCACTGCAAAAATAGCAGGATACAAGCATCTTAGCTACTGGGAGCGCCTGGAGCAGCTTGATCTCTACTCTCTACAGCGCCGCCGCGAGAGGTACATGATCATCCTTGTCTGGAAAATTTACTACGGTGAGATTCCCAACAGCGTACTGTCTCCGACACCCCTCCTACCCCTGGATATACAGGGGCTAATGGCAATTCAATCTTGGAATGGGCTGTGAGAAAGACATGATAACGGAAACACCGGTGGTGGAGACGCAAGATGTCTTGGCCTGGGCGTGCTAGCCCGAAACGAACCCAAGGTAAGGTAGGTACCCCATAGTTAGCCCCCCTAGTTAGCCCCCCCCCCCCCCCCCCCCTAGTTAGCCCCCCCCCCCCTAGTTAGCTGTAGTATTGTTGACAAACCTCCTATGTGTTTCTGCTCTGCGTTAAGTCGAGCTAAATATCTCCCAACCTGTTGTAATTCAGTAGAACAAGAACAAATGACACTCGCAATCATATCAACTAGAAGTAGTGCTATTAACATATTAAAACTTAAGGTCGATACAAATGGCTCTTCTTAATTTTACTTGCTTTATATGGCTCGGTGCCCAAAAGCGATATTAGGAGATTCTGACTTTTGTATTTAACTAAAGATACCCCTTGTAAGCTAAAAGCTGTCTATCTATAATCTAACTATCAAACATTCCAAAACAACAAGGTTTCGAGTTTTTGCGTGAGAGTAACCAATCTGAGAAGTGATTTGTTGTCGCGTCACTAATACCGACCAATCAGACGTATGAGAAGCAGTGCGAGGGGATGACCATATAATAAAGATATAATATATCAATAATTCCTGAATTGAAAAGCAAAAGATTGGTGCTCTAGCAGCAGGGGTCCTACACCCCTGTCTAGCAGCAATTTTACAATTAAATGAACGATCAAATGTTCTGTTCCGACTTTCTTATTTCGCTTGTGCCATCTTGAAAAGAAAAATATGAATTTAGATGGGTAAGTTAAATACGGTGAGATAGAGAAGAATTACTGGCGCAATATTTCCGACTAACCCAAGAGTTCAACTTCGTGGTTACAGAATAACAATTTTTTAGATTTGCTGTCGAGAAATAACGTCGTTACGCGATGGATTGGATGTTAGAAATATTATGTTGCATGATTTGTTTGTTCACGCTGCTGTTAAGTGTTATCTGGTCACGTGCTGCTGGTTTTAGACAAAGGGAGGATTTTAACAAACAAATTTAATGTGTCAATTATTGATAATTCTAGTCCTAAAACTTTGGATGTCCGTGAATATAAATATATTCAACTACTCAAGACTTTAAAACCTTTGGGAATTAACACTATAAATCCGTTCGGCCTTCCCTTACTCCTAACATCTTAATTTTAAATTTATAACCGTTTTAAGACTGTCCAGATTTTTAAATGAATTTTGGGTTTTACTAACTTTTTAAAATTTTTAGGGCTTATGTCACTGAAGATGACGCCTTGCAACATAATTGACGATAGCCTGTAAATTGATAGTTTGATCTCAGTATTTACAACAAATCATCTAGCTTGATTGATTCAAAGGGAGACAAAAATTCCTTTGTTTTATACATATCATGAAACGGATCGTTTGCCCACCAATTTGATTTGTTTCAATTGTTCGAATTATATGCTCCTGCTTAACTGCAGTCGAGCACTCTCATTGGGAAACCAACCAAAAACTATTTATTATTTTTATATATATACATATTATATGCTTTTATATATTTATATATATATATATACTTATAAATAGTTGGTGTTTGGTTTCCCAAAGAGAGTGCTCGACTGCAGTTAAGCAGGAGCATTATAATTCGAACAATTGAAACAAATCAAATTGGCGGGCAAACGATCCGTTTCATGATATGTATAAAAACAATACCAATCATCAGGGCACTGATGATTGGTATTGTTTTTATACATATCATGAAACGGATCGTTTGCCCGCCAATTTGATTTGTTTCAATTGTTCGAAATATATATACTTATATATATATATGCCAGTTTTTCCTTGTATTTGATCTACCTTTAACTTAAAGAAGATGGTAAAGATTGTATCCCTTAACACACTTGCTAACACCGCGCCGGGTAGTGTATATTAACAGGGTTCTACATTTCAGTGTTACACTGGCACGAGAGTCCACACGCCCTGCTCACACTCAATACTAACAATGCTGACTTGTCCATGCATGCGCGCAGGGACGCCATTAACATGGAAAACTTCGCTCCATCGTGCGCTATATCCTGCTCGCCCTACGACGAGATGAGCTTCGTGACAGCTTACAAACCCAGCAAGAGACAGTGAGTATTTTCAAACACTACACCTTCACCATTCTATTACAAACCCAGCAAGAGACAGTGAGTATTTGCAAACACTACACCTTCACCATTCTATTACAAACCCAGCAAGAGACAGTGAGTATTTGCAAACACTACACCTTCACCATTCTATTACAAATCCAGCAAGAGACAGTGAGTATTTGCAAACACTACACCTTCACCATTCTATTACAAACCCAGCAAGAGACAGTGAGTATTTGCAAACACTACACCTTCACCATTCTATTACAAACCCAGCAAGAGACAGTGAGTATTTGCAAACACTACACCTTCACCATTCTATTACAAACCCAGCAAGAGACAGTGAGTATTTGCAAACACTACACCTTCACCATTCTATTACAAACCCAGCAAGAGACAGTGAGTATTTTCAAACACCACACCTTCACCATTCTATTACAAACCCAGCAAGAGACAGTGAGTATTTGCAAACACTACACCTTCACCATTCTATTACAAAAGTACAAACCCAGCAAGAGACAGTGAGTATTTGCAAACACTACACCTTCACCATTCTATTACAAACCCAGCAAGAGACAGTGAGTATTTGGAAACACTACACCTTCACCATTCTATTACAAACCCAGCAAGAGACAGTGAGAATTTGCAAACACTACACCTTCACTATTCTATTACAAACCCAGCAAGAGACAGTGAGTATTTGCAAACACTACACCTTTACCATTCTATTCTAGTTTAATGTTGCTATTTCTGTTTGTTATACGCCGTGTGAGTATATGAATATCTGCAGACCCAGGATTAGAACCAAATCCGAGGGTACAAAAGACAACACGGGATCCGTTCACTTTCCTGTGGAGAATTCCTTGGTAGACCGGCTAACTTTGTAAGAGTACCCGCTGACATATGATTACCATGATTTCGTAACTGATAGGAATGTTAAATATACAATATCCAACAATTACTGCTAATAGGGAGGGGGCTTGCTAATAGCAAAAGTGTGTGCTTATTTAGCATTCTGTGTTCTCATTTTCTTTCGTCGTTTACTCATTTAAGAAATGCGCTAAATTTTAATAGGTAAACTGGTAAAGTCCTTTCTTCAAACCATAGTGGGGGGTTCATGTGAGGAAAGTGAGATTCTATGCAATTCATTTTGGAATCTCACTTTTTCACCTCTCACCTTTCTAATACAATAATAAACATTGAATATAATTGCTTTAAATATGTTTAGGCGAGAGAGAGAGAGAAAGAGAGATAGATAGATAGTACAGACAGATCCGTCTAAAAAAATCGATCTGCTGACACTCCAAGCTTTCAGAGGTTTTTTGACGTTTTTGAGTCCCATTAGGTGCCCTTTATGGCTGACCAACTTTTCCAAACTTTTCCACTTGTCTTAAGGCCACTTTTTGCCACTTTACCACTTTTTACCACCTTTTTTGTTTGTCGAATATCTTTAGTTGTGAACATCGTAAAAGGTTGCGGATCAATCGAGTGTGTTCATATTATCAGGAAGAAAAACTTTTGTTCGAACAATTTTTACGTCAGATAATAAGTTAATTGGATAATTATCAATTAACTAATTAGCAAAATTCTAAAAAATTTTTATTGGCTAAAAATGATCGGAATAGCTTAAAACACGGAGAAAAGTAGTTTTTAGAAAAAATTTTTAAATTTTTCACTTACATTTTTTTTTCGAGACTTAGAAAAAATTTCGAAAATTAAAAAAAAAATTTCCGCCAAAAGTGATCAAATCGCATGAAACACGGATAAAAATGCCTTTCTAAAAAACGTAGTGAATTTTTCGTTTCAAGAATACTTAAATCGCCAATATTTGTAGTTGGAGTTCAGTAAATCTCGGCAGATTTTAGTAATCAGGAATTAGTATTACTAAGTGAAGAGGTCTGAAACTGAAAAACGTTAACCATACGATCGCGCGGCGATATAAGAGTTTCATAAACTAATTTTCACAGAAACTGCACCAATGGCACAGTCAAGATCGAAACGATAGCCTGCTGTACTGTCATTTTATTGATTTCAATGATGAATCAGTGGGGTTAAGATAATCACATTTGTAATAAAATATAAATAAAACATCTCTGTACCGTCAATTGTGCTAGTCTAAACCAGCCTACCTGTATTACCAGACCTCTTCTTTTCCTCGACAATCAAACCAAGTTGCTCATATCGCATTTGGTGGGTGATGTAAGTAGTAATGCGCTTAGTCAATAAAGACACCGTGATTTTATTAAAAGGAGATGATGAAGCAAGTATTCATGACACAAAGAAGAATGGTCGGTGGGGATTGGGACCCACTTAAATCACCTTAACACAGTGCCCTCGGTAATCCATCCTGTCATTCAAATCACCTTAACACAGTGCCCTCAGTAATCTATCCTGTCATTCAAATTATTTGTTATATAGTAGTGTTGTAGGTATTGAAACTTATACATAACGAGCTGTATTCAATCAGAATACGACACAATACGTGTATATTATATGGCTCTTAATGAGAAACCCGGTATGGAGACGTTTTAAAGTTTATCACGAAAAAGTATACTTGGCCTCATTACATGGCTCATTTACAGTTCGAAGAAGGTAAGAACAGATCAAGGAAACTAAGGAACAGCCAGGTCCAGAAAGCAAGTGTAAATACACCTTCCAACATCAACTGTGACTTGTTTTGTATTGTTCTGCATACCGCTTCATTTGCTATGCTGGATACTGTTCTTTTCCTCGACAATCAAACCAAGTTGCTCATATCGCATTTGGTGGGTGATGTAAGTAGTAATATACATATCGAGCTGTATTCAATCACAAAACGACACAATGCAATACGTGTATATTATATTATGGCCCTCAAATGCGATATGAGCAACTTGGTTTGATTGTCGAGGAAAAGAACAGTATCCAGCATAGCAAATGAAGCGGTATGCAGAACAATACAAAACAAGTCACAGTTGATGTTGGAAGGTGTATTTACACTTGCTTTCTGGACCTGGCTGTTCCTTAGTTTCCTTGATCTGTTCTTACCTTCTTCGAACTGTAAATGAGCCATGTAATGAGGCCAAGTATACTTTTTCGTGATAAACTTTAAAACGTCTCCATACCGGGTTTCTCATTAAGAGCCATATAATATACACGTATTGTGTCAGATTCTGATTGAATACAGCTCGTTATGTATAAGTTTCAATACCTACAACACTACTATATAACAAATAATTTGAATGACAGGATAGATTACTGAGGGCACTGTGTTAAGGTGATTTGAATGACAGGATGGATTACCGAGGGCACTGTGTTAAGGTGATTTAAGTGGGTCCCAATCCCCACCGACCATTCTTCTTTGTGTCATGAATACTTGCTTCATCATCTCCTTTTAATAAAAATCACGGTGTCTTTATTGACTAAGCGCATTACTACTTACATCACCCACCAAATGCGATATGAGCAACTTGGTTTGATTGTCGAGGAAAAGAACAGTATCCAGCATAGCAAATGAAGCGGTATGCAGAACAATACAAAACAAGTCACAGTTGATGTTGGAAGGTGTATTTACACTTGCTTTCTGGACCTGGCTGTTCCTTAGTTTCCTTGATCTGTTCTTACCTTCTTCGAACTGTAAATGAGCCATGTAATGAGGCCAAGTATACTTTTTCGTGATAAACTTTAAAACGTCTCCATACCGGGTTTCTCATTAAGAGCCATATAATATACACGTATTGTGTCGTATTCTGATTGAATACAGCTCGTTATGTATAAGTTTCAATACCTACAACACTACTATATAACAAATAATTTGAATGACAGGATAGATTACTGAGGGCACTGTGTTAAGGTGATTTGAATGACAGGATGGATTACCGAGGGCACTGTGTTAAGGTGATTTAAGTGGGTCCCAATCCCCACCGACCATTCTTCTTTGTGTCATGAATACTTGCTTCATCATCTCCTTTTAATAAAAATCACGGTGTCTTTATTGACTAAGCGCATTACTACTTACATCACCCACCAAATGCGATATGAGCAACTTGGTTTGATTGTCGAGGAAAAGAAGAGGTCTGGTAATACAGGTAGGCTGGTTTAGACTAGCACAATTGACGGTACAGAGATGTTTTATTTATATTTTATTACAAATGTGATTATCTTAACCCCACTGATTCATCATTGAAATCAATAAAATGACAGTACAGCAGGCTATCGTTTCGATCTTGACTGTGCCATTGGTGCAGTTTCTGTGAAAATTAGTTTATGAAACTCTTATATCGCCGCGCGATCGTATGGTTAACGTTTTTCAGTTTCAGACCTCTTCACTTAGTAATACTAATTCCTGATTACTAAAATCTGCCGAGATTTACTGAACTCCAACTACAAATATTGGCGATTTAAGTATTCTTGAAACGAAAAATTCACTACGTTTTTTAGAAAGGCATTTTTATCCGTGTTTCATGCGATTTGATCACTTTTGGCGGAAATTTTTTTTTTAATTTTCGAAATTTTTTCTAAGTCTCGAAAAAAAAATGTAAGTGAAAAATTTAAAAATTTTTTCTAAAAACTACTTTTCTCCGTGTTTTAAGCTATTCCGATCATTTTTAGCCAATAAAAATTTTTTAGAATTTTGCTAATTAGTTAATTGATAATTATCCAATTAACTTATTATCTGACGTAAAAATTGTTCGAACAAAAGTTTTTCTTCCTGATTAATTGGCACACACACGATTGTTCCGCAACCTTTATACGATGTTCTCAACTAAAGTATTCGACAAACAAAAAAAGGTGGGTTGATAAAAGTGGTTAAGTGGCAAAAAGTGGCATTAAGACAAGTGGGAAAAATGTTTGGAAAAGTTGGTCTGGCCATTAAAACATAAAGGGCACTAATGGGATCAAAAACGTCAAAAACTTGAAAGCTGGGAAGTGTCAGCAGATCGATTGTTTAGACGGATCCTGTCTTGTACTAAGAGAGGAGAGATAGATAGATAGATAGAGAGAGAGAGAGAGAGCGAGAGAGGGAGGGAGGGAGGGGAGGGAGGAGGGGAGGGAGGGGGGCGGGGGGTGGGGGGGGAGGGAGGGAGGGAAGGGAGGGGGGGGGGAGGGAGGGAGGGGGAGGGAGGGAGGGGAGAGGGAGATGAGAGAGAGAGAGAGAGGGGGAGTGAGGAGGAAGACGGGAGAAGGGAGAGGAGGAGAGAGAGAGAGAGGAGAGAGAGAGAGAGAGAGAGAGAGAGAGAGAGAGAGAGAGAGAGAGGAGAGAGAGAGAGAGAGAGAGAGAGAGAGAGAGAGAGAGAGAGAGAGAGAGAGAAGAGAGAGAGAGAGAGAGAGAGAGAGAGAGAGAGAGAGAGAGAGAGAGAGAGAGAGAGAGAGAGAGAGGAGAGAGCTCATGTAATTCTTCTTAGAATTCTACAGAAATTTCAGAGATTGTAGAGTACGAGATATGGGTCAAACTTCTAGATTTCCTGAAAGTTTCGTCAAATTTAATTAATTATAGTGGGTGTGGCACGCCAATCCTTCTTTTTCGCTATTGTCACCATAAAGTGAGAACGCTTTTAGCTAGGAACTTCAAAGTTTCTTGACATATTTGGTTTGATAATTAAAGTGCTTTCCTAAAATTTCAAGTTGGTTGTTCACAATTTAACCTCTGAAAGCTTGGAGTGTCAGCAGATCGATTTTTTTAGACGGATCTGTCTGTACTAAGAGAGAGAGATAGATAGATAGATAGAGAGAGAGAGAGAGAGAGAGAGGGAGGGAGGGAGGGAGGGAGGGAGGGAGGGAGGGAGGGGAGGGAGGGAGGGAGGGAGGGAGGGAGGGAGGGAGGGAGGGAGGGGGGAGGGGGGGAGGGAGGGAGGGAGGGAGGGGGGGGGGGGGGAGGGAGGGAGGGAGGGGAGGGAGGGAGGGAGAGAGAGAGAGAGGAGAGAGAGAGAGAGAGAGAGAGAGAGAGAGAGAGAGAGAGAGAGGAGAGAGGAGAGAGAGAGAGAGAGAGAGAGAGAGAGAGAGAGAGAGAGAGAGAGAGAGAGAGAGAGAGAGAGAGAGAGAGAGAGGAGAGAGAGAGAGAGAGAGAGAGAGAGAGAGAGCTCATGTAATTCTTCTTAGAATTCTACAGAAATTTCAGAGATTGTAGAGTACGAGATATGGGTCAAACTTCTAGATTTCCTGAAAGTTTCGTCAAATTTAATTAATTATAGTGGGTGTGGCACGCCAATCCTTCTTTTTCGCTATTGTCACCATAAAGTGAGAACGCTTTTAGCTAGGAACTTCAAAGTTTCTTGACATATTTGGTTTGATAATTAAAGTGCTTTCCTAAAATTTCAAGTTGGTTGTTCACAATTTAACCGAGTTATTAAAGTTCTCTTTTTTTCCCTAAAAATTCTGGTAAAAAGACCCCCCCCCCCCCCCCCCCTGCCCCCTTAATTAACAAACCAAATGTGTCGTTTTTTCGTGGTGGCGGACGCTAGGTTTCTATCCACTTTAAGCTCTGATCAGTTCACTTTATAATATCATGCTTAACTTGGGATTCAAATTAATTTCCATAGAATTAAGAACACTAACTTAACTTTTGGAAACAAAAATTCGACAAAATAATATATTTGATTGTACTACATTCGTTTTATTCTCGTTGGCATACGATAGAGGTTATTTGGCCAGTTAAAGTTAGATTTCTAAGCAAACATTTGAAATCTCACGTTTATTTTTACCTCTCACTTTTATCACGTGCCCCCCCCCCCCCCCCCCCCCCCCCTATTACTACACTACACTACACTACACTACACTACACTACACTACACTACACTACACTACACTACACTACACTACACTACACTACACTACACTACACTGCACTACACTGTACCCCCCCCCCCCCCCCCCCCCCTTATTACTATGCATATCCACTCTTCACTCACTCATCAACTACTCAGTCGGAAAGGTGGACTCAGCTCCGAGCAGCCCTCTGTGAGTTTCAGTCCAGTGACCGCCAGCTACGTTAGTGAAGAATACTCCTCAGGCAACGAAAGTCACGAGCAGTACGTACCACGAGATCCTATGTTATCCATCACGTGATCTTATGTTATCCATCACGTGATCCTATGTTATCCATCACGTGATCTAATGTTATCCATCACGTGATCTAATGTTATCCATCATGAGATCTAATGTTATCCATCACGAGATCTAATGTTATCCATCACTACATCTAATGTTATCCATCACGAGATCTAATGTTATCCTTCACGTGATCGAATGTTATCCATCACTACATCTAATGTTATCCATCACGAGATCTAATGTTATCCATCACGTGATCTAATGTTATCCATCACGTGATCTAATGTTATCCATCACGAGATCTAATTTTATCCATCACGTGATCTTATGTTATCCATCACGAGATCTAATGTTATCAATCACATGATCTAATGTTATCCATCACGGGATCTAATTTTATCCATCACGAGATCCAATGTTATCCATCACATGATGTAATGTTATCAATCACGTGATCTAATGTTATCCATCACGGGATCTAATTTTATCCATCACGAGATCCAATATTATCCATCACATGATCCAATATTATCCATCACGAGATCTAATTTTATCCATCACGAGATCTAATTTTATCCATCACATGATCTAATGTTATCCATCATGAGATCTAATGTTATCCATCACGTGATCTAATGTTATCCATCACGAGATCTAATGTTATCCATCACGTGATCTTATGTTATCCATCACGAGATCTAATCTTATCCATCACGAGATCTAATTTTATCCATCACGAGATCTAATTTTATCCATCACGTGATCTAATATTATCCATCACGAGATCCAATGTTATCCATCACGCGATCTAATGTTATCCATCACGAGATCTGATTTTATCCATCACGAGATCTAATTTTATCCATCACGAGATCCAATGTTATCCATCACGTGATCTAATGTTATCCATCACATGATCTAATGTTATCCATCACGTGATCTAATATTATCCATCACGAGATCTAATGTTATCCATCACGAGATCTAATTTTATCCATCACGAGATCTAATGTTATCCATCACGTGATCTAATGTTATCCATCACAAGATCTAATATTATCCATCACGAGATCTAATGTTATCCATCACGTGATCTAATGTTATCCATCACGAGATCTAATGTTATCCATCACGAGATCTAATGTTATCCATCACGTGATCTAATGTTATCCATCACGTGATCTAATGTTATCCATCACGTGATCTAATGTTATCCATCACGAGATCTAATGTTATCCATCACGAGATCTAATGTTATCCATCACATGATCTAATGTTATCCATCACGTGATCTAATGTTATCCATCACGTGATCTAATGTTGTACATCACGTGATATAATGTTATCCATCACAAGATCTAATGTTGTCCATCACGAGATTTAATCTTATCCATCACGAGATCTAATTTTATCCATCACGGGATCTAATTTTATCCATCACGAGATCTAATGTTATCCATCACGTGATCTAATGTTATCCATCACGTGATCTTATGTTATCCATCACGTGATCTAATGTTATCCATCACGTGATCTAATGTTATCCATCACGTGATCTAATGTTATCCATCACATGATCTAATTTTATCCATCACGAGATCTAATGTTGTCCATCACGTGATCTAATGTTATCCATCACGTGATCTAATGTTATCCATCACGTGATCTTATGTTATCCATCACGTGATCTAATGTTATCCATCACGTGATCTAATGTTATCCATCACGTGATCTAATGTTATCCATCACGTGATCTAATGTTATCCATCACATGATCTAATTTTATCCATCACGAGATCTAATGTTGTCCATCACGTGATCTAATGTTATCCATCACGTGATCTTATGTTATCCATCACGTGATCTAATCTTATCCATCACGAGATCTAATTTTATCCATCACGGGATCTAATTTTATCCATCACGAGATCTAATGTTATCCATCACGTGATCTAATGTTATCCATCACGTGATCTTATGTTATCCATCACATGATCTAATGTTATCCATCACGTGATCTAATGTTATCCATCACGTGATCTAATGTTATCCATCACGTGATCTAATGTTATCCATCACGAGATCTAATGTTATCCATCATGAGATCTAATTTTATCCATCATGAGATCTAATTTTATCCATCATGAGATCTAATTTTATCCATCACGAGATCTAATGTTATCCATCACGTGATCTAATTTTATCCATCACGTGATCTAATGTTGTCCATCACGAGATCTAATGTTATCCATCACGAGATCTTATGTTATCCATCACGAGATCTAATGTTATCCATCATGTGATCTAATGTTATCCATCACGAGATCTAATTTTATCCATCACGAGATCTAATGTTATCCATCACTTGATCTAATCTTATCCATCACGAGATCTAAATCTGATGTAATCCATCACATGATCTAATTTTATCCATCACATGATCTAATGTTATCCATCACGAGATCTAATGTTATCCATCACGTGATCTAATGTTATCCATCACGTGATCTAATATTATCCATCACGAGATCTAATGTTATCCATCACGTGATCTAATTTTATCCATCACGTGATCTAATGTTATCCATCACGTGATCTAATATTATCCATCACGAGATCTAATGTTATCCATCACGTGATCTAATGTTTTCCATCACGTGATCTAATGTTATCCATCACGTGATTTAATGTTATCCATCACGTGATCTAATATTATCCATCACGTGATCTAATGTTATCCATCACGAGATCTAATGTTATCCATCACGTGATCTAATGTTATCCATCACGTGATCTAATATTATCCATCACGAGATCTAATGTTATCCATCACGTGATCTAATTTTATCCATCACAAGATCTAATGTTATCCATCACGAGATCTAATTTTATCCATCACGAGATCTAATGTTAACCATCACGTGATCTAATGTTATCCATCACGTGATCTAATGTTATCCATCACGAGATTTAATCTTATCCATCACGAGATCTAAATCTGATGTTATCCATCACGTGATATAATTTTATCCATCACGTGATCTAATGTTATCCATCACGAGATCTAATGTTATCCATCACGTGATCTAATATTATCCATCACGTGATCTAATGTTATCCATCACGTGATCTAATATTATCCATCACGTGATCTAATGTTATCCATCACTAGATCTAATGTTATCCATCACGAGATTTAATCTTATCCATCACGAGATCTAAATCTGATGTTATCCATCACGTGATATAATTTTATCCATCACATGATCTAATGTTATCCATCACGAGATCTAATGTTATCCATCACGTGATCTAATGTTATCCATCACGTGATCTAATATTATCCATCACGAGATCTAATGTTATCCATCACGTGATCTAATATTATCCATCACGTGATCTAATATTATCCATCACGTGATCTAATGTTGTCCATCACTAGATCTAATGTTATCCATCACGTGATCTAATATTATCCATCACATGATCTAATGTTATCCATCACGAGATCTAATTTTATCCATCACGTGATCTAATGTTATCCATCACGTGATCTTATGTTATCCATCACATGATCTAATATTATCCATCACATGATCTAATGTTATCAATCACATGATCTAATGTTATCCATCACGTGATCTAATGTTATCCATCACGAGATCCAATATTATCCATCACGTGATCTAATTTTATCCATCACATGATCTTATGTTATCCATGACGTGATCTAATGTTATCCATCACGTGATCTAATGTTATCCATCACGGGATCTAATTTCATCCATCACGTGATCTAATGTTATCCATCACGTGATCTGATGTTATCCATCACGTGATCTAATTTTATCCATCACATGATCTAATTTTATCCATCACGAGATCTAATTTTATCCATCATGAGATCTAATTTTATCCATCACGTGATCTAATATTATCCATCACGTGATCTAATGTTATCCATCACGAGATCTAATGTTATCCATCACGAGATCTAATCTTATCCAACACGTGATCTAATGTTGTCCATCACGAGATCTAATTTTATCCATCACGAGATCTAATTTTATCCATCACGTGATCTAATGTTATCCATCACGTGATCTAATGTTATCCATCACGTGATCTAATGTTATCCATCACGTGATCTAATGTTATCCATCACGAGATCTAATGTTATCCATCACGAGATCTAATGTTATCCATCACGAGATCTAATTTTATCCATCACGTGATCTAATGTTATCCATCACGTGATCTAATGTTATCCATCACGAGATCTAATTTTATCCATCACGAGATCTAATGTTATCCATCACGTGATCTAATGTTATCCATCACGAGATCTAATGTTATCCATCACGAGATCTAAATCTGATGTTATCCATCACGTGATATAATGTTGTCCATCATGAGATCTAATTTTATCCATCACGTGATCTAATTTTATCCATCACGAGATCTAATTTTATCAACCCCTCCTCTCCAGGATTACTGGTTTCCTTGAAATGATCCTTGACCCCTCCTCTCCAGGATAACAGATATATTTGAAATGATCCCTGACCCCTCCTCTCCAGGATAACTGATATATTTGAAATGATTCCTGACCCCTCCTCTCCATGATAACTGATATATTTGAAATGATCCCTGACCCCTCTTCTTCAAGATAACTGATATATTTGAAATGATCCTTGACCCCTCTTCTTCAGGATAACAGCCATTCCGGACACTGCCCCTGACCGGAGTTTTATCTTCACCCGTCCCATATCCTCCAAAGAAGACTACTCGTTCAAATTCCGCTACTTAGCAAAAAACTACAAGTTTTCCGGACTTTCTCTCGAGGAGCTGTGTCACCATAACGCAAAGGTTATTTTTAGAATCATAAATAACGTTATTTGTATCTTCTTGTAGAGTATTTTGTTTTATTTCATCACTTATTGTCTACTGATAACACTAATGTGGTAGATAGCGGAGAGTCAGGCGCTGCTCCACGTGGCGTCTAACTGGCGGCTTCTGAGCGTGCTGTTTGCTTCAGAGGAGGTCACAATGCCATTCTACGAGGAAGAGAATCAGAAACGCAATAAAAGATCAGGTTAGTGCCATCCTCCGTTGTCGTGGTAACCAACACTATTGTGACTATCTTAACTTATCTAATATAAGAAATGTCTAGGTACTGTTTACAGTGACCAAGGTACTATCTTAACTTATCTAATATAAGAAATGTCTAGGTACTGTTTACAGTGACCAAGGTACTATCTTAACTTATCAAATATAAGAAATGTCTAGGTACTGTTTACAGTGACCGAGGTAGTATCTTAACTTATCTAATCTAAGAAATGTCTAGGTACTGTTTACAGTGACCGAGGTACTATCTTAACTTATCTAATGTAAGAAATGTCTAGGTACTGTTTACAGTGACCGAGGTACTATCTTAACTTATCTAATGTAAGAAATGTCTAGGTACTGTTTACAGTGACCGAGGTACTATCTTAACTTATCTAATGTAAGAAATGTCTAGGTACTGTTTACAGTGACCGAGGTACTATCTTAACTTATCTGATGTAAGAAATGTCTAGGTACTGTTTACAGTGACCGAGGTACTATCTTAACTTATCTAATGTAAGAAATGTCTAGGTACTGTTTACAGTGACCGAGGTACTATCTTAACTTATCTAATGTAAGAAATGTCTAGGTAATGTTTACAGTGACCGAGGTACTATCTTAACTTATCTAATATAAGAAATGTCTAGGTACTGTTTACAGTGACCGAGGTACTATCTTAACTTATCTAATCTAAGAAATGTCTAGGTACTGTTTACAGTGACCGAGGTACTATCTTAACTTATCTAATATAAGAAATGTCTAGGTACTGTTTACAGTGACCGAGGTACTATCTTAACTTATCTAATATAAGAAATGTCTAGGTACTGTTTACAGTGACCGAGGTACTATCTTAACTTATCTAATATAAGAAATGTCTAGGTACTGTTTACAGTGACCGAGGTACTATATTAACGTATCTAATATAAGAAATGTCTAGGTAATGTTTACAGTGACCGAGGTACTATCTTAACTTATCTAATATAAGAAATGTCTAGGTACTGTTTACAGTGACCGAGGTACTATCTTAACTTATCTAATACAAGAAATATCTAGGTACTGTTTACAGTGACCGAGGTACTATCTTAACTTATCTAATATAAGAAATGTCTAGGTACTGTTTGCAGTGACCGAGGTACTATCTTAACTTATCTAATATAAGAAATGTCTAGGTACTGTTTACAGTGACCGAGGTACTATATTACCGTATCTAATATAAGAAATGTCTAGGTACTGTTTACAGTGACCGAGGTACTATCTTAACTTATCTAATATAAGAAATGTCTAGGTAATGTTTACAGTGACCGAGGTACTATCTTAACTTATCTAATATAAGAAATGTCTAGGTACTGTTTACAGTGACCGAGGTACTATATTAACGTATCTAATATAAGAAATGTCTAGGTACTGTTTACAGTGACCGAGGTACTATATTAACGTATCTAATATAAGAAATGTCTAGGTAATGTTTACAGTGACCGAGGTACTATCTTAACTTATCTAATATAAGAAATGTCTAGGTACTGTTTACAGTGACCGAGGTACTATCTTAACTTATCTAATATAAGAAATGTCTAGGTACTGTTTACAGTGACCGAGGTACTATCTTAACTTATCTAATATAAGAAATGTCTAGGTACTGTTTACAGTGACCGAGGTACTATCTTAACTTATCTAATGTAAGAAATGTCTAGGTACTGTTTACAGTGACCGAGGTACTATCTTAACTTATCTAATATAAGAAATGTCTAGGTACTGTTTACAGTGACCGAGGTACTATCTTAACTTATCTAATATAAGAAATGTCTAGGTACTGTTTACAGTGACCGAGGTACTATCCTGACCTCAGAATCACCAGAGTCTGCTGAGCAGGAATCAGATAGTGACCACATGGAGTATCCTAGGTGAGTGGTCATTGAGTAAATTTATATATTGTGTAAGTTACAAACATTCTAGCAGAATAACAAAAAATGAAGCAACTACACGTTTCTTTTGTGGATGGCCGCTCAATCCGTGATGGCCTGTGACGTGATTCAGCAATGATGGAGATCATCTAACACAACTACTTCTACTAAATAAGGGGGGGGGGGGGGGGGGCACCACAACGACAAGCACAGTTGAGAGCTCAAAAACAGGAACAAACACTAAGGCTCTTTAGTTAATAGTTATGTAAAAAGGTTTGCGAAGAAGTTAGTATCACACACTATTGCAGGTGTGATAGAATTCGATACATTGTATAATAATTATAGTTCTTTTACTTTACCTCAAATAAGTAAAAGAGGTAATGTTTGTGGTGCCCCCCCCCCCCCCCCCTCAATCAAAGAGAGGTAAAGTTTGTGGTGTCTTTAACGACGGTCTGCACTGCCTGCAACTGTTTCTGCAACTATTTTTCTTTGCAGTCAATTATTGATTCCTGAGCGCTGATAACCAATTTCTGATTCTCAATCAACTGATTCTTGATTGAGCTCAGTCCATTTTTCATCTTCTTTAACTTGTAAGTTTGAAAGCGAACCAAATGGAACGATTCTGACAGAAATGCTGCAAAATTTTGTTAATCCGTTAAACTTAATGACCTTTTAGGCAAAAAATATTTGCAATGTACAGAAGTCTTGTCAACTGGTGCTTCACAACCGAGCTGATTCATAACTTTTGCCATCCAATCCTCAGCTTTAATCATAATATTGTCAATCTCCGTGTCGTCCACAGCTGCCATGATGTAAGGCTAAGCTACAAGGTGAGAGGCACAAAATCTTGCCGTTAAACAAGGCGAGATAAGAAAGCAGATAAGAGAGCAAATTAAACAAACGTATACTATTAGTGTAGGGCTGAAGTAATGTTTGTGGTGCCCCCCCCCCCCCCCCCCTCAATTAAAGAGAGGTAATGTTTGTGGTGCCCCCCCCCCCTCAATTAAAGATAGGTAATGTTTGTGGTGCCCCCCCCCCCCCCCCCCCCCCACTCAATAAGAGAAGTAATCCTTATGGCATGATTCCATGGTTTCAGGCCGTCCTACGTGAGTGAGGAGGAGCTAAGTGATGAAGAGTACAACATTGAACCTCCAGGTACAGTGTTTAGTAGAGAGCATCACAGCTCTCTACTAAACACAGACAAAGTTAAACAAGGCAAATAACTGGTTATTAAAATTAATTTAAGTATAGACACTAGACAGGGTGGGCCTTAGGGGGTAATGTAATCAGTCATCATTACCAGAAAGGTCTTGCAGCTGTGCTGTTATAATAAATTATGATAAATTATAATGAATTATAATAAATTATATTAAATTATAATGAATTATAATAAGTTACGATAGATTAAAACAAATTATAATAAATTGTAACAAATTATAATGATCTCGAAACATAATATTTCTACTGACCGTTTTCTCGCAGTAGACAGTTATCAGAACTGGGATATGTTAGACGAACCGTTCACCCAACAAGCTGCTCTGAACACCGAGTCCACTGAGTGCGAGGAGCTGAGTGACCGGAGCAGTCAGCCCGACCCTGACCAGGGTCTTTACAGCTTCGACAACTTTCACCAGGTTTTCCTTTTACTCTCCTCCCAACTCCTCTCATCTCCCTCCTCCCCTCTTCTCCTCCTAACTCCTCTCATCTCCCTCCTCCCCTCTTCTCCTCCCAACTCCTCTCATCTCCCTCCTCCCCTCTTCTCCTCCCAACTCCTCTCATCTCCCTCCTCCCTCTTCTCCTCCCAACTCCTCCCATCTCCCTCCTCCCCTCTTCTCCTCCTAACTCCTCTCATCTCCCTCCTCCCCTCTTCTCCTCCCAACTCCTCTCATCTCCCTCCTCCCTCTTCTCCTCCTAACTCCTCTCATCTCCCTCCTCCCTCTTCTCCTCCCAACTCCTCTCATCTCCTCCTCCCCTCTTCTCCTCCCAACTCCTCTCATCTCCCTCCTCCCTCTTCTCCTCCAACTCCTCCCATCTCCCTCCTCCCCTCTTCTCCTCCTAACTCCTCTCATCTCCCTCCTCCCTCTTCTCCTCCTAACTCCTCCCATCTCCCTCCTCCCCTCTTCTCCTCCTAACTCCTCTCATCTCCCTCCTCCCCTCTTCTCCTCCCAACTCCTCTCATCTCCCTCCTCCCTCTTCTCCTCCTAACTCCTCTCATCTCCCTCCTCCCTCTTCTCCTCCAACTCCTCTCATCTCCCTCCTCCCTCTTCTCCTCCCAACTCCTCTCATCTCCCTCCTCCCTCTTCTCCTCCCAACTCCTCTCATCTCCCTCCTCCCCTCTTCTCCTCCCAACTCCTCTCATCTCCCTCCTCCCTCTTCTCCTCCTAACTCCTCTCATCTCCCTCCTCCTCTTCTCTCCTAACTCCTCTCATCTCCCTCCTTCCCTCTTCTCCTCCCAACTCCTCTCATCTCCCTCCTTCCCTCTTCTCCTCCCAACTCCTCTCATCTCCCTCCTCCCTCTTCTCCTCCCAACTCCTCTCATCTCCCTCCTCCCCTCTTCTCCTCCCAACTCCTCTCATCTCCCTCCTCCCCTCTTCTCCTCCCAACTCCTCTCATCTCCCTCCTCCCTCTTCTCCTCCCAACTCCTCTCATCTCCCTCCTCCCCTCTTCTCCTCCCAACTCCTCTCATCTTCCTCCTCCCCTCTTCTCCTCCCAACTCCTCTCATCTCCCTCCTCCCCTCTTCTCCTCCCAACTCCTCTCATCTCCCTCCTCCCTCTTCTCCTCCTAACTCCTCTCATCTCCCTCCTTCCCTCTTCTCCTCCCAACTCCTCTCATCTCCCTCCTCCCCTCTTCTCCTCCCAACTCCTCTCATCTCCCTCCTCCCCTCTTCTCCTCCCAACTCCTCTCATCTCCCTCCTCCCTCTTCTCCTCCCAACTCCTCTCATCTCCCTCCTCCCCTCTTCTTTATAGACCACCTCCCTGGCTCTCCTGAACTCTACATTGCAGGCGACTTTAATTTGCCGTTTGTAGACTGGTCCAGTAAGTCGATCAAACCAAACTCCAGCAAATCGGCTTCCGACACGAACTCGGGACTAGCCTTTATGGAGTTCATATCTTCAAACTTCCTAGAGCAGCTAGTCGATGAACCCACTAGGAAGGACCAAAACATCCTTGACCTGATCCTATCCAACAACTCCGACTTAATCCACGGTTTATCAGTGTCAAAGACGGAGAAATCAGACCACGACATAGTGACCTGTACTCTCCTCCACCCGCAGTTCCTACTTGAGCAACCAGCAAGGAAAGAGTACAGTCCTGCCACAGCACTTGATGACATCAACTTCAATGCTGCTGACTGGGCCTTGATTAACAAGGAACTCACTACTGTAGACTGGTCGACAGTAACCAACCCTTCAACTAGCCAAGATGCTGCATGGGATATGTTTGAAGGGATCATTGTGCAGATCTGCAAGAAACACGCACCTTCTCATAGCCACAATCGTCAAGCCGCAGCATCTTCAAAAATCCCAAGGTCAAGGGTGGCTCTCCTTAGAAAGAAAAAGCGCCTTAATGCCAGGATCAACTGTATTAAATACAGATTTTGTGGCCCTTCTCCGCCTCGCAATAATGTCAAGCTTCGCAAGCTGGATGAAGAGAGGGCTGCTGTCGAGATGCTCCTTAAAGCGGGCATTAAACAGCAGCGAGCCAGAGAAGAACTTGTTGCTCTTAGTAAGATCAAGACTAATCCTAAGGCGTTTTTATACCTTCGCAAAGAGGTTTAAAACCCCTGCTGCATCTGTCGGACCCCTATTGGATAGTGATGACAAGCTCCAGTCTGATCCAGCCACTATGGGTAATATCTTACAGGATCAATATGCGAGTGCTTTCAGTGACCCTAAAAAGGCAAATCTAGCCGAAGTCCGGACGTCCAAGGTCATTGAGCAACCTCATTCTATCACAGACATCGACTTTAATGAGCAAGATATCCTCGACGCCATCAAAGCGATGAATCGTTTCTCAGCAGTCGGACCTGACAAGTTCCCAGTCCTAATCCTCAAGGAATGTGGAATTGTCCTAGCTCCTGTGATAACCAAGCTTTGGAAAGCTTCGCTAAGCTCTGGTGAAATAGCTACAAAATTCAAGAACCAGAGTATTATCCCCCTTTTTAAAAAGGGGAAAAGGTCGATTGCTGCCAACTATCGACCGGTATCTCTAACATCCAACCTCATAAAGATGTTCGAGAGGGTCGTCCGCGCTAAGCTGGTTGACTACATTGTAGCTCAAGACATCATCAACCACGATCAACACGGCTTTCAAGCTGGAAGAAGCTGTCTTTCTCAACTTCTTCACCACGTCCAAGACATCATGGATGACTTAGATGGTGACGAAAATGCTGATATCCTGTATCTTGATTTCAGCAAAGCCTTCGATAAGGTAGATCACGCTATACTATTGAAGAAGCTCCATATGTACGGTATCCAGGGCAACGCCCACCGCTGGCTGGAAAGCTTCCTCAGTGGAAGAACCCAACATGTCGTTGTCGATGGTATTGAATCTCTCGTCATAATGGTGCTAAGTGGGGTACCACAGGGCACTGTGTTAGGCCCACTGCTATTTATTTTGTATATCAACGACCTGTTCCTAGTTGTAAGACATTGCAAAGTAAAAGTGTTTGCTGATGACTCCAAGCTCCACAAAAACATCAGCTCCCCGTCCGACTGCAAATGTCTCCAGGAAGATCTCTGTGCAGTAGTGCGATGGGCAGTAGCAAACAACATGGAGCTAAACGAAAGTAAGTTCCAACTTCTCCAGCATGGTAAGAACCCTGAGCTAAAGAAACCCTACATTTTACCATCTGGTGCATCGATATCTTCTGATGATGTCGTGAAAGATCTCGGTGTGTATGTTGACAGTGATCTCTCCTGGCGTCAACACATCACAAGAAAGTCTTCTGAGGCAGCGAGCAAAGCTGGATGGGTACTGAGAACTTTCTCTACCAGAGACAAAGACACGATGATGATGCTCTTCAAGACATACGTCCGCTCTATTACCGAGTATTGTTGTGCTCTCTGGTCGCCTCACCTGCAGTGTGACATAATCATGATTGAGTCGATCCAACGCTCATTCACTGCGAAAATAGCAGGATACAAGCATCTTAGCTACTGGGAGCGCCTGAAGCAGCTTGATCTCTACTCCCTACAGCGCCGCCGCGAGAGGTACATGATCATCCTTGTCTGGAAAATTTACTACGGTGAGATTCCCAACAGTGTAAACATTTCTTTCCAACACTCTCAAAGAAGAGGAGTTACATGTCTTCGTCCTCTTGGCGGATCAAAATACAAAAGCATCAACACCATGAGGTTCCATTCTTTCCCTTCAGTGGCTTCTGCTTTGTATAACGTTGTGCCTCACGACATCAAGTCTATCCCAACCTTGCCAAAATTCAAGGCAGCACTTGATCGCTTTCTCCATACCGTCCCCGACACCCCTCCTACCCCTGGATATACAGGGGCAAATGGCAATTCAATCTTGGAATGGGCTGTGAGCAAGACATGATAACGGAGACACCGGTGGTGGAGACGCAAGATGTCTTGGCCTGGGCGTGCTAGCCCGAAACGAACCCAAGGTACCCAAGGTAGGTATCTCCCTCCTCCCTCTTCTCCTCCCAACTCCTCTCATCTCCCTCCTCCCTCTTCTCCTCCCAACTCCTCTCATCTCCCTCCTCCCTCTTCTCCTCCTAACTCCTCTCATCTCCCTCCTCCCCTCTTCTCCTCCCAACTCCTCTCATCTCCCTCCTCCCCTCTTCTCCTCCTAACTCCTCTCATCTCCCTCCTCCCCTCTTCTCCTCCCAACTCCTCTCATCTCCCTCCTTCCCTCTTCTCCTCCCAACTCCTCTCATCTCCCTCCTCCCCTCTTCTCCTCCTAACTCCTCTCATCTCCCTCCTCCCTCTTCTCCTCCCAACTCCTCTCATCTCCCTCCTCCCCTCTTCTCCCAACTCCTCTCATCTCCCTCCTCCCCTCTTCTCCTCCCAACTCCTCTCATCTCCCTCCTCCCTCTTCTCCTCCTAACTCCTCTCATCTCCCTCCTCCACTCTTCTCCCAACTCCTCTCATCTCCCTCCTCCCCTCTTCTCCTCCCAACTCCTCTCATCTCCCTCCTCCCCTCTTCTCCTCTCAACTCCTCTCATCTCCCTCCTCCCCTCTTCTCCTCCCAACTCCTCTCATCTCCCTCCTCCCCTCTTCTCCTCCTAACTCCTCTCATCTCCCTCCTCCCCTCTTCTCCTCCCAACTCCTCTCATCTCCCTCCTCCCTCTTCTCCTCCCAACTCCTCTCATCTCCCTCCTCCCCTCTTCTCCTCCTAACTCCTCTCATCTCCCTCCTCCCCTCTTCTCCTCCCAACTCCTCTCATCTCCCTCCTCCCCTCTTCTCCTCCCAACTCCTCTCATCTCCCTCCTCCCCTCTTCTCCTCTCAACTCCTCTCATCTCCCTCCTCCCCTCTTCTCCCAACTCCTCTCATCTCCCTCCTCCCCTCTTCTCCCAACTCCTCTCATCTCCCTCCTCCCCTCTTCTCCTCCCAACTCCTCTCATCTCCCTCCTCCCCTCTTCTCCTCCCAACTCCTCTCATCTCCCTCCTCCCCTCTTCTCCTCCCAACTCCTCTCATCTCCCTCCTCCCCTCTTCTCCTCCTAACTCCTCTCATCTCCCTCCTCCCCTCTTCTCCTCCTAACTCCTCTCATCTCCCTCCTCCCCTCTTCTCCTCCTAACTCCTCTCATCTCCCTCCTCCCTCTTCTCCTCCTAACTCCTCTCATCTCCCTCCTCCCCTCTTCTCCTCCCAAATCCTCTCATCTCCCTCCTCCCCTCTTCTCCTCCCAACTCCTCTCATCTCCCTCCTCCCTCTTCTCCTCCCAACTCCTCTCATCTCCCTCCTCCCTCTTCTCCTCCCAACTCCTCTCATCTCCCTCCTCCCCTCTTCTCCTCCTATCTCCTCTCATCTCCCTCCTCCCCTCTTCTCCTCCCAACTCCTCTCATCTCCCTCCTCCCTCTTCTCCTCCCAACTCCTCTCATCTCCCTCCTCCCCTCTTCTCCTCCCAACTCCTCTCATCTCCCTCCTCCCTCTTCTCCTCCCAACTCCTCTCATCTCCCTCCTCCCCTCTTCTCCTCCTATCTCCTCTCATCTCCCTCCTCCCTCTTCTCCTCCTAACTCCTCTCATCTCCCTCCTCCCCTCTTCTCCTCCCAACTCCTCTCATCTCCCTCCTCCCCTCTTCTCCTCCTAACTCCTCTCATCTCCCTCCCCTCTTCTCCTCCCAACTCCTCTCATCTCCCTCCTCCCTCTTCTCCTCCCAACTCCTCTCATCTCCCTCCTCCCTCTTCTCCTCTCAACTCCTCTCAACTCCTCTCATCTCCCTCCTCCCTCTTCTCCTCCCAACTCCTCTCATCTCCCTCCTCCCCTCTTCTCCTCCCAACTCCTCTCATCTCCCTCCTCCCCTCTTCTCCTCCCAACTCCTCTCATCTCCCTCCTCCCCTCTTCTCCTCCCAACTCCTCCCATCTCCCTCCTCCCTCTTCTCTCTATTCTCCTTCTCCCATACTCTCTGCCCCTCCACTCTTACTCCCCTGATCTGTTCCTCTTCTAGTGAAGTAGGTTGTCACTGATGATATCATGGTTTTGTATCATGATTGAAACATTTGTCTGACTCAACCGGTCATTTCATTTTGTATATAATATGTATATATAAATTATTATAATATAATATACAATATGTAATATTACCCTGTATGCATCAGGACACGATGGCATCAGTGCGACACAGCAGGACGGAGCTAATGAAGATAAACATGGGTGCACTAACTCGTGACATGTTGGAAGATCTAGTTAACGAGGGAGATGTACAGACAGCGTGTACTATGCTGCTCGTCCTAGAGAAGAAGCTCACTAAAACAATAGACCCCATGTCCCTGGGGGACCTGGAGATAAACTGGTTCCACTCCTACATAGACCTCCTCTCCAGGTTCCAGTTGTGGAGTGTTCAAGCTGCTGTAGTGGCACAAGCTCCTGATCCTATTAAGGTCACTATAAGGGGGAGGGGAGAGGGGTGGGGGACAGGCTGCTGATCCTATTAAGGTCACTATAAGGGGGAGGGGAGAGGGGTGGGGGACAGGCTGCTGATCCTATTAAGGTCACTATAAGGGGGAGGGGAGAGGGGTTGGGGACAGGCTGCTGATCCTATTAAGGTCACTATAAGGGGGAGGGGAGAGGGGTGGGGGACAGGCTCCTGATCCTATTAAGGTCACTATAAGGGAGAGGGGAGAGGGGTGTGGCACAGGCTCCTGATCCAATTAAGGTCACTATAAGGGGGAGGGGAGAGGGGTGGGGGACAGGCTGCTGATCCTATTAAGGTCACTATAAGGGGGAGGGGAGAGGGGTGGGGGACAGGCTCCTGATCCTATTAAGGTCACTATAAGGGGGAGGGGAGCATAGGTGCAGATTTCGTTTTGAGGTGAACTTTTAAGTTCCCGAGAAATTTTCTTAAGTTTGCTTTTTTTTTCCTCCTCGGGCACATTCGTAACCTACGGGCCAGGTAAACCTAAACTACATATTGACCGTTATGTACGTCGGTATCTGTTGAGGAGCCAAATCATCTGAAAAGCCCTTAACCTATATTTTGCTCAGGCACGTAGCCAGGAGGGGAGGGGAGAGGGGTGGGGGACAGGCTGCTGATCCTATTAAGGTCACTATAAGGGGGAGGGGAGAGGGGTGGGGGACAGGCTGCTGATCCTATTAAGGTCACTATAAGGGGGAGGGGAGAGGGGTGGGGGACAGGCTGCTGATCCTATTAAGGTCACTATAAGGGGGAGGGGAGAGGGGTGGGGGACAGGCTGCTGATCCTATTAAGGTCACTATAAGGGGGAGGGGAGAGGGGTGGGGGACAAGCTCCTGATCCTATTAAGGTCACTATAAGGGGGAGGGGAGAGGGGTGGGGGACAGGCTGCTGATCCTATTAAGGTCACTATAAGGGGGAGGGGAGAGGGGTGGGGGACAAGGTCCTGATCCTATTAAGGTCACTATAAGGGGGAGGGGAGAGGGGTGGGGGAGAGGGGTGGGGGACAGGCTGCTGATCCTATTAAGGTCACTATAAGGGGGAGGGGAGAGGGGTGGGGGACAGGCTGCTGATCCTATTAAGGTCACTTTCTATTAAGGTCACTTTAAGGGGGAGGGGAGAGGGGTGGGGGACAGGCTCCTGATCCTATTAAGGGGTAGGGGAGCATAGGTGCAGATTTCGTTTTGAGGTGAACTTTTAAGTTCCCGAGAAATTTTCTTAAGTTTGCTTTTTTTCCTCCTCGGGCACATTCGTAACCTACGGGCCAGGTAAACCTAAACTACATATTGACCGTTATGTACGTCGGTATCTGTTGAGGAGCCAAATCATCTGAAAAGCCCTTAACCTATATTTTGCTCAGGCACGTAGCCAGGATTTTTCTTGGCTGTCCATGTCGGCGAGCGAAGCTGCAAGCTGGTCAGGGGTCTGGGGGCGCGGCCCCCAGCGGGGTCCAGGTAAGGGGCGGACCACATTGGCGGGGGCTAGGGGGGCGCAGCCCCCCGGAAAATTTTTGCGAAATAGGGTGTTTTAGGCTAAATTGAAAGTTTAATGAATTTACAAAAATGTATGGTTTGGCATAATCATTGCCTACAATCCTGACCTGAGTAATTTACCCCTTTGAGACTTTATTTTGGGTTAAAAATTAAGTTTATCGAGAGGAAGTGAAAAATTTTGGTTCAAATTTGGATTTGAAGCCATGTTTAATTTTTTCTGTTGAGGTCAATTTTTTGCGCAGAAAGCGTTCGATTTTAGGGGGAAAAATGTATGTTTCCTTTTAATTTTTATGGTGCCGACGGCACCTGAAATCGACGAAATCTGCAGGGGTGGAGGGGAGAGGGGTGGGGGACAGGCTGCTGATCCAATTAAGGTCACTATAAGGGGGAGGGGAGAGGGGTGGGGGACAGGCTGCTGATCCTATTAAGGTCACTATAAGGGGGAGGGGAGAGGGGTGGGGACAGGCTGCTGATCCTATTAAGGTCACTATAAGGGGGAGGGGAGAGGGGTGGGGGACAGGCTGCTGATCCAATTAAGGTCACTATAAGGGGGAGGGGAGAGGGGTGGGGACAGGCTGCTGATCCAATTAAGGTCACTATAAGGGGGAGGGGAGAGGGGTGGGGGACAGGCTGCTGATCCAATTAAGGTCACTATAAGGGGGAGGGGAGAGGGGTGGGGGACAGGCTGCTGATCCTATTAAGGTCACTATAAGGGGGAGGGGAGAGGGGTGGGGGACAAGCTCCTGATCCTATTAAGGTCACTATAAGGGAGAGGGGAGAGGGGTGGGGGACAGGCTGCTGATCCTATTAAGGTCACTATAAGGGAGAGGGGAGAGGGGTGGGGGACAGGCTGCTGATCCTATTAAGGTCACTATAAGGGGGAGGGGAGAGGGGTGGGGGACAGGCTGCTGATCCAATTAAGGTCACTATAAGGGGGAGGGGAGAGGGGTGAGGACAGGCTGCTGATCCAATTAAGGTCACTATAAGGGGGAGGGGAGAGGGGTGGGGGACAGGCTGCTGATCCAATTAAGGTCACTATAAGGGGGAGGGGAGAGGGGTGGGGGACAGGCTGCTGATCCTATTAAGGTCACTATAAGGGGGAGGGGAGAGGGGTGGGGGACAAGCTCCTGATCCTATTAAGGTCACTATAAGGGAGAGGGGAGAGGGGTGGGGGACAGGCTGCTGATCCAATTAAGGTCACTATAAGGGGGAGGGGAGAGGGGTGGGGGACAGGCTGCTGATCCAATTAAGGTCACTATAAGGGGGAGGGGAGAGGGGTGGGGGACAGGCTGCTGATCCTATTAAGGTCACTATAAGGGGGAGGGGAGAGGGGTGGGGGACAAGCTCCTGATCCTATTAAGGTCACTATAAGGGAGAGGGGAGAGGGGTGGGGGACAGGCTGCTGATCCTATTAAGGTCACTATAAGGGGGAGGGGAGGGGGGTGGGGGACAGGCTGCTGATCCAATTAAGGTCACTATAAGGGGGAGGGGAGAGGGGTGGGGGACAGGCTGCTGATCCTATTAAGGTCACTATAAGGGGGAGGGGAGAGGGGTGGGGGACAGGCTGCTGATCCTATTAAGGTCACTATAAGGGGGAGGGGAGAGGGGTGGGGGACAGGCTGCTGATCCAATTAAGGTCACTATAAGGGGGAGGGGAGAGGGGTGGGGGACAGGCTGCTGATCCTATTAAGGTCACTATAAGGGGGAGGGGAGAGGGGTGGGGGACAGGCTGCTGATCCAATTAAGGTCACTATAAGGGGGAGGGGAGAGGGGTGGGGGACAGGCTCCTGATCCTATTAAGGTCACTATAAGGGGGAGGGGAGAGGGGTGGGGGACAAGCTCCTGATCCTATTAAGGTCACTATAAGGGGGAGGGGAGAGGGGTGGGGGACAGGCTGCTGATCCTATTAAGGTCACTATAAGGGGGAGGGGAGAGGGGTGGGGGACAAGCTCCTGATCCTATTAAGGTCACTATAAGGGGGAGGGGAGAGGCTCCTGATCCTATTAAGGTCACTATAAGGGGAGGGGAGAGGGGTGGGGGACAGGCTGCTGATCCTATTAAGGTCACTATAAGGGGAGGGGAGAGGGGTGGGGGACAGGCTGCTGATCCTATTAAGGTCACTATAAGGGGAGGGGAGAGGGGTGGGGGACAGGCTGCTGATCCTATTAAGGTCACTATAAGGGGGAGGGGAGAGGGGTGGGGGACAGGCTGCTGATCCTATTAAGGTCACTATAAGGGGGAGGGGAGAGGGGTGGGGACAGGCTGCTGATCCTATTAAGGTCACTATAAGGGGAGGGGAGAGGGGTGGGGGACAGGCTGCTGATCCTATTAAGGTCACTATAAGGGGAGGGGAGAGGGGTGGGGGACAGGCTGCTGATCCTATTAAGGTCACTATAAGGGGGAGGGGAGAGGGGTGGGGGACAGGCTGCTGATCCTATTAAGGTCACTATAAGGGGGAGGGGAGAGGGGTGGGGGACAGGCTGCTGATCCTATTAAGGTCACTATAAGGGGGAGGGGAGAGGGGTGGGGGACAGGCTGCTGATCCAATTAAGGTCACTATAAGGGGGAGGGGAGAGGGGTGGGGGACAGGCTGCTGATCCTATTAAGGTCACTATAAGGGGGAGGGGAGAGGGGTGGGGGACAGGCTGCTGATCCAATTAAGGTCACTATAAGGGGGAGGGGAGAGGGGTGGGGGACAGGCTCCTGATCCTATTAAGGTCACTATAAGGGGGAGGGGAGAGGGGTGGGGGACAAGCTCCTGATCCTATTAAGGTCACTATAAGGGGGAGGGGAGAGGGGTGGGGGACAGGCTGCTGATCCTATTAAGGTCACTATAAGGGGGAGGGGAGAGGGGTGGGGGACAAGCTCCTGATCCTATTAAGGTCACTATAAGGGGGAGGGGAGAGGCTCCTGATCCTATTAAGGTCACTATAAGGGGAGGGGAGAGGGGTGGGGGACAGGCTGCTGATCCTATTAAGGTCACTATAAGGGGGAGGGGAGAGGGGTGGGGGACAGGCTGCTGATCCTATTAAGGTCACTATAAGGGGAGGGGAGAGGGGTGGGGGACAGGCTGCTGATCCTATTAAGGTCACTATAAGGGGGAGGGGAGAGGGGTGGGGGACAGGCTGCTGATCCTATTAAGGTCACTATAAGGGGGAGGGGAGAGGGGTGGGGACAGGCTGCTGATCCTATTAAGGTCACTATAAGGGGAGGGGAGAGGGGTGGGGGACAGGCTCCTGATCCTATTAAGGTTACTTTAAGGGGACGGGGTCTTTATCACAATTATCTCGAAATCGGTACCATGACTTTCAGCACTCATAATAATTTTTTTGAGTTCTTATACCATCATGCATCAGCATAAAATAATATTCAAATTATATACATTTTTGAAAATATTTTCGCAGAAAATTGTTCACTTTTTACAAGGTTTGCGTTCAGGTACTGAACACTAAGAACGTGATAACAGCGATGTGCACCAAGTGCAGCACAAATGACAAAGTTGGCGGTAAACGGGCGGTGCTGCACAGTGGCCTGTGCAGCAGGTGCGGTATTGTTGCAGTGTGTTCCCTCTGTAGAATAGCGGTCAAAGGTCTCTACATCTGGTGTCAGGGCTGCTGTCACGGCGGCCATCCTCATCATATGAGACAATGGTTTGAGAATAATCGACTCTGTCCCGCCGCTTGCGGGCATGCCTGTCAGTTCTCTTGACAATTTGGAAACTATCTTAAATTTGCAAAGTTAAATGTGTTTTGATTGTTTATTCCGGGTCCTGTATATTTAAGTTTGATTCAAATTGTTTTAACTGGGATAGACTTATTCAGGGGAACCTCTCTTCAGAAACTGGGCAGTTTTATTTTTCGAATACTGAATTATCCAAGTACTCTAGAGTAAAGTGTAGTAAACACCTCCTCCCCCGTCTGTAAGCCACAATATGAATAACCATAGTTATTGTGTAAAAAGTACCCTTTATAGCTTTACGCAATATGTGAATATTATAATACTGATAAAATAATACTTTCGTTGATTGAAATGTCTCTTATTCTAGATTCCTTACACGTCATAACTAAATAACTTGTAAAATTTGATAACTTCTTTTGTACCTTTTTTGATATCTGTTTTATTAAGGTATCATAGATATGTAGTTTATAGAGGGTAGAAAAGATGATTTTAATAATTTAAAATCCGATTGTAACAATGTAACATTAACTTTCACAACGATCTTTGATTTCATTTATATTTCTGCGTTTCATTTTAAGTCTGTTATTTTCTATTCTTATAATCGGATAATGTAATATTAGCGAATAGAAATTAATAGATATTTCTGTACTTAGTCCCGATATAATAGTAGTATCGAGTTTCTGCTCAAAATTGAATGCTTTTGAGGATGATATGTATGAGTTGATAAGGTCCATCGATGATCGAGTTCTCGAAATCGAAAAACAACTTTCAGCAGAAACTCGATAAAGACCTTGAAAAGCTCCGCAACTCCGGCAAGGTCATAGTACCACTACCACTTACCAGCGGACAAGACCACCAACATGTACCTCGTGTCAACAGAACGATAAACTCCTAACCGAAAATGTAACAAAAACGTATAAGAATGCTAATCCAGAGAAGAAAGACGACATTGACAAAATGTCAGCCAAACTGGGGGGCGGGGGCCATCTACTTTAACTTACTCTTAGGACGTCCGCCAAAATCACAGATTTACAGGCCTCCTCCTGTCCGGGTGTGTCCGTATTTTCAAAACCCCTCCCCTCCCTATTTGATAAAATTTAAAGAGTTGAAATAAATTCTGCCAAAATTCCCGGATTTTCAGAAACCACCCCTCCCCCTGTCCGGATTTGTCCGAAATTCCAAAACCACCCTACCCCCCCTCCCTATTAGTATTTGCTGGACGTCCTGAGTAGATGGCCCCTTGCCCGATCAAGCTGTAATTAGAAGACCTAGTGTGTAGCGCTCCTACTAAATCGCTCGCCCAAATTTTAAGAAAATTCTTGTGAAAAGGCCCTTTCCACTTTCACGAATCACCCCCCATGACGTAGGGTTAAAATGCTTCCTGGAGAGTTATGGGCAAAAAACCGTTTTGGTCACGTGACAGGCTAGTAAAAGTAAAACTTGACCATTGTTAATGATCTGGCCCGGCGCGCGCTACTTCGTAGCACTTGCCATTTCGTAGCACTTGCCATTTCGAGAAGAAAGCGGCGCGCGCTACTTCGAAGAAATTTAGACGAGTAACATCCGTCAATAGTAAAACGTGAATTCGATTATTTAGGGCTCGGGTTAGGGTTAGGGTTGTGGTTAAGATTATGGATAGCTTCGGGGTTATGGTTAGGGTTGGGATTAGGGTTTATGTATGATGTAGAACCGTTTTTTGTAGCGCGATGCACTACTGGGTCGCGCGCGCGCATATCATCCAATAATGCTTCTCGCAACCACCAACGTATGCAGATCGGCGAGATGCGAAGGATTGACATCGTGAATCAAAACCGTTTTGTACGGCTGCAAAACCAAAAAAACCAAAGTCACGTGAAATTTTTGGGCGAGCGATTTAGTAAGAGCCCTGTCGATGGCGCACTGTACTACCTACTATATTACATTATGCACTCAAGAGGCCAGCAGCTACAAGTAAAATACCCGAAGCTATGTTTTTGGGTAAGTAATTAAAGGTGCTTTTTGGTGACAAACGGATTTGAGTCTTCTCAAAGTAGGCTTTGACAATAGCATTTTTGAGCCTTACTGATAGTACGGTTTCACTAATTCACTCGCCATGGATTATAGGATAAGCGCGCTATTTTGTATTTCGCATTGGATATAAAGATGACCAATGATATTGCAGTGTTTAAGTCACGTGCGCGTGATATAGCGCGCTGGCGTGTGATCTTGAGATCAGATCACAGATACAAACTTTTGTTCCCTCCTCTTTTTCACTCCCTCTCTGCATTATGCCTTCTGATAAACCTATCGCTTGCAGTTTGTTGAATATCTATGTCATCTGTCAGTGTCATCTGTCATTCCGCCGAATCTTTATGGTTTGAACATAATAGGCTATTATGTTTATGAACATAATAGCCTGGGGTCTTGGAGGACTTCGCCGCTTCGACGCGCCGCGCGAACTAGCATTCTTGCTTCGTCGACGATCGTTGCTCTGCTTCGCAGAGCAACGATCTCGATGGATTGACATCGTCAATCAACCTGGGGTCCTTAGGTAAGATTTGTAGGTTTACAACCTACCAGGACGCGCGCCGAGTTGGACTCGTCGACGGTCCCTATATGGAACAGATATTTTACGAGTATCACCCGTTAAGGTACCTAAGATACAAGGTATTTTAGCGCTTGACATACGTTGCATGCCACTTTTCGCGCGCGAAGCGCGCGCCGCCGAAGGCGGAAAATTATCTCTGATATTGGGATACGAAACATGTATCAATTTAGCGCTAATTTAGGCCAGCACAATTTTCTTCAAACAAATAGATATTGAGTATCCTTCCCGACCTTCAACATTCAATTGCAACCAAAATTTGTAAGCTTACTCATAGACATAGACTTACAAGGAAAGTGTCCGAAAAATATCAACTCCGATATCCACCAAATTTTTCGGACAGTTGTGAAAGCCCTATTGGAAGGTCGTCGCCAATTTTCAGAATGATCTCATTCAAGGAACTGAAGATATATCCGAATAATACGACAAAAATCAACGAATTTGGTCAAATTACGCGACTTTTACAGCTACTTTTGCTCCAAAAGCCGCGCACCATCAAATATGGCACCTAGGCGAAACTCACTGATCTTTCCAAAAAGGTATGACAAATTTGGTATTGTGAAAATTCTCACAGTCTCTAGAAAACAATGGTACAAAAATTTTAAATCCGAGCAAGTTTATTTTTATCGTGCAGGATTGGGCGACATCTGTCCGACAGCGACATCTGTCCGAAAGCTGAATTAGGGATTTCGGACAGATGTCGCTGTCGGACAGGAGTCGTTTTTGGCGACATCTGTCCGAAATTTGGATCATATTGTAATTTCGGTTCACATTCGTATTTCACAAGCTCACAGGTAATCTCGTGACGTTCTAAAGCTGATGTGATCGCTTAAGATCTGATCCATCGATACGTGATTGACTAGTTGAGAACAGGATCGTGCTAGCCGTACCCTAACAAGCTGTCGATCACATCACAGGACATGAGTACATATAGGACAGCAGTATGGAGATCATTTATCGCAATCCACAATGGCAACCAATCAACCACCAATCCTAACTTCGCTCCTCACATGTAGAATCAACACGAAGCTGCACAGATGAGGATTCCTCACTCATCCAAAATCGCAGAAGGTTGGCATCACGGATTCCATTCAATGCTGTCCTGATCGAAGCCCACAATTTGGAAGTTCCTTGATTGCCTTAAAGTAAAACAAGCCCTTACCAGTGGCGTAACGTTGCCTGTTGGCGCCCCCCTGCCGAAAAGGCGCCCCCCTGTTGGCGCCCCCTCCCCTTTTGGTGCCCCTCCCTAAAATTGAACAAATTAGGTGATTTTAGAAGATACGCCGGTAAAAATCTCTAAAAAAGTGTGTATCTAGAGCAAAACGCGCAGTTTTGCTAGTTTTTTTATTTCAAAATTCAAATAAACTTTACATCAATGTATTACAGTTATGTTCAATAAAAAGACCACAATATCTCCTGTGAAGCAAAAACATGGAAAAAGCGAGCTAGAAAAATATTCATGATACTCAACACTACCAGGCTCAGCTGGAGTGAGAAACAATATATGTAAAAACATCAAGGTAAAATTTATTTTGGCTGAACCAAAACACGGTGGTAAGACCATAATAACATTGGTGCCGACCCTACATAAAATCATTAATAAATAATCAAGAGAACAAATTTAAATGTATACGATACCTTCTTGCTACTACTCCACAAACTTACACGACATAACAACAAAATAACATAATTAAATAATATTATAATAAAACAATCTATAATCTAGCCACTCACGTACTGCGTGACGCGCTTCGGGTTGTTTCATAAGAGAAAAAACGGCGCGTTCTACTGCAGGTGCGAGGGGCAAATTATAGAGAGTATGACATTCATAAAGTAAAATATATATATAATAATATTCCATGATGGGCCGTCTAATCAGGCCAGCATACGTCAGAAGACCAGAGAAATTCAGTTAGCTTTGTTTTGAAAATAGAAATTTTCTCAGTCTGTCTAACATAGGCTGGCAGTGCATTCCACAGAAGCATTGTTCTATAAAAGAAGCTGTTTCTGAAACTATCGCAGTTTGGTACAATAGAGCAGGTATATGTGCTGGTGTCAAGTCCTTCAATGACTGATGCCGTGCTCCTTGTGTACCTCATTGTTCCAGCTTCAACAACAGTAATATATTCAGGTAGAGATATACTTACCAAATCATTTACTATTTTATAGAAGAGCGTAATTGAATTATGGATGAACTTAGATCTAATGGGTAGAATTTTAAGCTCCTTCTGCTTCTCATAAAATACAATATCACTATAATGATCAAACTGTTGTCCATTGATCCATTTGATCGCTCTTTTCTGGATTGCCTCAAACTTCGACATGTGTGTCGATCGCTGAGGACACCATATAACTGAGCAATGTTCAAAGATTGATCTTACAATGGTAAGGTAGAAAGCCCTCTTTTGGCGTTTATCCATGGTAAAATGACAGGTTCTCTTTAAGAGCCCAAGCTTCGAGCTTGCTTTAGATATCAATTGATCACAATGTGCACCCCACAGAAACCTGTTGTTCATTATTACACCAAGATCTGTATGGGATGCCACATAATCAATTATGACTTCATTAAGATTATACCAATAAATATTAAAAGGAAGATTGTCTAATACATTTCTTTGCAGAGTTACAGATAACACCTTACACTTTGAAGGGTGAAAAGTCATTTTGTTATCGATTGACCAGGCAAACAACCTGTCTATATCTCCTTGAAGAATATAGTGGTCTTCAAAGCATTCGATGACCCTCCAAATTTTGGTGTCATCTGCATACAATGCTACATTTGTATCCTCCGAAACACACGAGAACATGTCGTTGATGAATAGAACAAACAGAAGTGGTCCCAGAATAGATCCCTGGGGCACTCCTGATTGCACGGGAAGCATGCTTGAGACAGCTCCGCCTACAACAACCTGCTGTCGTCTGTCTTGTAAATACGACTTTAAAAATCTAAGCATCAGACCATCAATACCA